AATACAATAGTGAAGCAAAAATAAATAACATACATTGTAAAGTGCAACAAGTTCGAATGAAGTTAATTCTTTAGAATTTTTTTTCCTTTGAAGAGGGGATATAGAAAACAAATGAAGTGAGTCTGACCTCCCATATGTGGTGTTAAACAAGGATGAAAGTTGTGAGTTTAAATTAATATAAGTGTTAGATGTTAACCAAAGGGAAGATGTAGAGGTAAATTTTATTTCTTGCCATGAGTTTAAGTTAATGGTGGTTTCGAAGGATTATCGATAAATAAACTTAATGGCAAGATGTATTATTTGTTATAATGGCATTTCATGAACTATAGTGATTCTCAAAATCCTTTGTTTTGGTTTAAGGTTATGGCTTCAAGGTTGGTTTGAGCATTTGGCAATTATACACAAAGTTGTAATTAGTTTATTGAAATTCCATAATTGACTGATGCTTATGTTATGACTTTGGGTTTTGTTTTAGTTATAGTTATTAACAATTACATTAGTGGGAGTTTCAAGTTTTTATGACAATTTATAATTGTCTAACAGAAGCTTTAAATATTCTACTTAACTTATCATCATCACATTCTCATCTTCCAAAGAGAAGGATGGTATAAGGTCTATAAATACATATATATATATTACTCTGCTTAGGCATATAGTATATAAATCTTCCATTCAAGACTTAATTTAGTCCATTCATACTTGTGGGGTAAAACCATTTAATATTCCTATTCCAATATCTTAAGCACTCATATAACCAAAATGATATAAATGTTATATTCATTAAGTCTAGTATGTGATAGAGAGAAATACTCAATAAGTAGTTTAAAAGTCTTTAAATTTTTTAATTTAATATCTAGTAATATGGCTGTAATAAGTGTAGCAAGCAAATAAAATTAGTTAGTTTATTTCTAAATTAGTTAATATAATTATGTTGCAAAATCATTCTAAATATTCCATTGTTAATAAATGATGGATATATTGATAATCTCAATAGAAATTACCCAATAATACCCCTAAAACTATTTATATTTCTCAACTATGCATTTAGGATCATCACACATTGATGACTCACCTTTAAAATATGTAAATTTCAAGAAAAATTCTAAAATTTATAAGCATATGCATTCACTATATATTTATGACTCAGATTTTAGTAGAGATTCTCAAAAAATAAAAGCAACAACTAATTTAACACTAATTTTAAATCTTTTTAGAATCTTGAAGGGTATTTTATATTTTGTCCTTAAGCAATGTGATTAATGGACAAGCAGAATCAACAAACAAAACACTTAAAAACATACTCAAGAAAATAGTCAAAAAAAACCTTAAGGATTGGGATGAAAGAATTTATGATGCTCTTTGGGCATATAGAACAGCCTACAAAGTTTCAACAAATTCTACACCTTTCAAGCTTGCTTATGGCCTTGAAGCGTTACTGAAAATTTGGTTTGTGGGAAAGTCAAGGTATTAGACCTTTTAAAAGTATTCTTTAAAGTCTCAGTTTGACTAATTTGAATATGACATTTGATAACTCTACAATGGTATAATCCCTAAAAAGAAAAGAGAAAAAAAGAACTTTAAAACTAAATTCAATTGAGAGTGAGGTAGAGGAGGATGAGTGTACAAAATAACACATACACACAAGAAACTACCATCAAGATACCAAAGACTCATCATGTTTGTTTATTATGTGTTGTTATGGGAGGCCACTACATTTTTGGTGGATTGCCTAGGAATGAAGACTGAGCATAAAGATTGTAAGGGAAGAGTATTAACATTGCACAAGCTACACTACTTTCACTAAATCACAGTTGAAAGGTATAAAAATAATTAAAATCTAAAAGAGACAAAAGTGATATTAAGATCCTAAATCTTTGAGAACATTACTATAAATAAAAGAAAGCCATATTTGTCATGGGATGATATTGAGTGGCTAAGATGAAAAACTCTTCAAACTAAGTCAAGAAAGAAATTATTTTAGAATCTTAAGTCTCTTGAGATATTTTAAATCAATCAATCAATCATATTGCTTCTGGGGGGGGGGGCAAGAGAGAGAGAGAGAGAGATTTATGATAAGAAAAGTACACCCTTCTACAAAAGGTAGTGATTTACCATATTCAATTATGTACAAAAACACATAAGTACTCTTTTTTAACATTGAAATTTATTCATGTGAAATTCATGATTATTAGAAGCCATAATAGCTAAATTGATTTTTTTTTAAAATTATAGGGGTAGATTTAGGGGAGTAGAGTACAATGTATAACTAAAAAATGATTCATGGATATTGGTAATACGGCAATAATTATATAGGTACACAATCTCAAGTATCAAGAGTCATGTGAAATCAATTGGTATAAAATAAGGTTAGTAGCTTTAGGCTACACACAATGAGCTAAGATCAATTACAATAAAAAAATTTCACCTGTAGTTAAAATGGTTTCTACATGATTAATTCTTGATATAGCTAACCATCTAGATCTTGAGGTTGAATAAATAGACGTTAAAAACACATTTTTAAATGGTAAATTGGAATACCTAGTATACATACATCAACCTTCTGAGTTTAAATTATGTGGAAAAGAACACTTTATTTATTTGTAAGCTTTAGTGATCTATTTATACACTTAAAAAATCCCCAAAAATATTACAACACCTTAAACAAGTTCTTTTTAATACCTGGTCTATGCAAAAGTAGATTGGAATCTCTACTATTGTATTTGACAGTCAATAATGTATGTGTCTACATCAATTATCTCATCAAGGCTAGAAATACATTGAATTTATGATGGCTAAAGAAGCAACTTAAAGATGATAGATCTAGGTAAAATTTTATTTTATCTTGGCTTATGAGTTTTTTATAATAGGGAACACTACATCTTGAGAATTCATCAACAAAAGTATATATGCAATCTCATATAGAATATGACAAAAAAATTTACTACACACATTGCCCCAAATCTAGCAGTAAAGTTCCACAAACTTTTCAAAGATGATAATCCAGGTAGAAAAAGGAGATGATGTAATTACTATATTAGAACATGGTTAGTGCTTTGTTGTACCTTGCAATAGTGAGTCAACTGGACATAGCAACAGTTGTTTCTTGTGTATGCAAGTTCATATAAAACCAGTATTTGTGTTCATTGATGTTTGCATTTCAAGTCTAATATTTCATAGTAGTCAATGAATCTATAGTGCCTCCTTTACTGCTTTACTTACATTGTATTACATTATTGATAATGTCACTATTCATTATTTCTAACTCCGCATAACAACATTAGAGAATTTAGAGTTGTTAATCTGCAGTCATCAAGGTCTCCAGCAAGATTAGTGTCAACCTATGGAACTAGTGTTCCTACTCCGATTTCTCACTTTATTTGGGAACATGTGGAGCGAGAGGAGATCAAATTCAAGTACCACTCAACAATTTAAATAATTGCATAAGTTATCTTCCTAGAGAGAGCTGAGATCTAAAGACGTTTTACAAACTGAAAAGATTGTCAGATAGAGTGGGAGTGTTAGAGTAGCAGGAATCAATGTGACAAGAAGATAGGGATCTTAGAGAGATTTAAGGAGATGAACACATATATAAACCTGTACTTCTAAAGCATTCATACTGTACTATTTTTCCCTTCATCCTTTCCATCAGAGTGACTTTCAGAGATCCACACTTCATGTAAAAGTCGAATATCGTGCTTGCAAGAAACCTGTTAGACTTGAGTCCCCTCATGGAAAGCTCTGAATGGAAAGCCATTCACTGTCACCATTTTTCCAGCCAACTCCCTGCCGTCTTCTCCCGCTGCCAAGCCGGCACAGGCACCAAGAACAACCACAAAAGTTCTCGTGTTGGAAGCCTTGATCCAGTATGATGGAGAAAAGTTCCAGTGCCAAACCCTTTTCTCCACTCCAAGCATAAGCCTTGATGATCACATTCCAGGACACCACGGTTCACTGCTTCATGCAGTCGAAAACTCACCGAGCTTGCTCTCACATCTGGCGTACATGTCGATGGACGTGTGAGCCAGGAAAACATTCCCATCTCGTCTGCATTTGGCGAGCACCTGTTCAAGTTCCTCCTTACTGCCGCAAGACTTTAGTGTTGCGAGGAGTGCTCGTTCGTGTCGCACTATCTTTCCTCTTCAAGAATGCCTGTTGATCATCTAAGCTACAATTTTCCCCGGGCTGCACATTTATATTCCCGCATCTGTGACGCTCGGAGAGAGCATTGGAATTGTTTTCTCTCAATGATACATCTAGCAAAGAACAAGGAAACATGACTTAGAGAGCTTTGTCGAATTTAAAAGCCTTGGTTGCACGTACCTCTCAAGGAAATTCCATCGCCTGCCGCAGCTACCATGTAGTTCCTTCCATCGCTCCAGAATGCTACTGCTTATATGAACAGCAGGATTTTCCTTTAAATACCTCGAAGAAAAACCATTCTGGACGAGACTACACACCTTGCTGATGGAAATCTTACTGTTCCCCACGGCAATTGTAGCGATTTTTCTGGATTTTCACGGCAGTTGCAAAGAAGAGCCGTGAGTCGCGAGCAACGGGAATGCATCATCTGGCCAAAACACTAATAGAATAATGCCTACATTTTTCAAATCACTCGCGACCTTTCTCTAAAGGTAAAGGTAAGCCAATCGATTCGTTTTATTAATGTGGTGGACACGAATATTCTTTGATTTATAAGTAGCATTGGCAAGAATTGAACCCGAAACGTATGCTTTGGGAAGCCGAGGTCTTAACCGACTGGTCTAAGTTGTTCTAGTGAGCTAGCGAACCAGAACAAGGGCTACTTAAAGAGCAAGAGTTTTGCATAAAAGTCCTTGTTGATTGGACCCTTCGGCATCGAACCCGGGTCTTCTACAACGGTTTACCTCTACACTTACCTGATAGCCATCATCTCAGCAACCGGGTTCCAATAATAAAATATCATAACATCTACTTGAACCATATGGCATGTTAGATCGACCCACATTCTCGCTGCTCGAGGCCGCGTTTCGTGCTTGGCAGAAGCCCTTTCCCAATTGTAGAGGTAAGAGGAGGGGATCTCGATGGATCGGGGCGGCGCTCCTCTTCCAAAATACTTGACGACCTCCGCATGGTGGGATCCAACTTCCAAGGACGATAGTGGCGCTCTGGGTGTGGGGAGTTCACTCGGTGGTGGATTAGAAGATGGAGAAACCCCACTCGGCCAAGAAAGGAAAATTGACAGGAGAGTTTTGTTCTAGATTTTCTCACTCACTCGCTCACTCGCTGTTTCTATGAAAGAAGCAGGGAGGAGAACAACTGGTGGCTCGTTCCCGTCGCTCTGATTGGCAGATCCAGGACCGGACTGTCTATACCGAAGAACTGGCCAAGTTTTGGGAGGCCTAATCAAATCTCACAAGATACTCTCTCTCAGCATCCAGCGAGTTTGCACAGAGCAAGCACAGTTTTGCATTATCCTCCTATTGTTCTTTAAACCTCAACCTCTCCAGTAAGAGCATCGGCTTGATCAACACAGTCATTCATGGACGCGAAACGGGGCAGGATGGACGAGGCACGCCGCATTTTCGATTCCATGGATCGGCGCACCGCGGCGTCGTGAAACTGCGTCATCGGCGGCTACGCGCGGTGCGGCCAGCCGGGTCTCGCGTTCCAGTTCTTTGCGCGGCTGCATGCCGAGGGGTTGGATCCAAACGGCCGTATCTTCGTCACGGCTCTCCAGGCGTGTTCTTCACAGGCCGCTAGAGAAAAGGGGGTGAAAGATTTACAGGGGAGGACCATCAAGCAGGAGCCTCAAGAGAGGCTTGGCTCTTCATTCCCAGCTTCAGAGTGGTGGATTCTTGGTGGACAGGTTCGTGGCCAGCGCCCTGGTGGATTTCTATGGAAAGTGTGGCAGCGTGAGAGAAGCTCTAGAGATTTGCCAAGTTGGGAACAAAGGACGTGGTTTTGTGAAGTGCCATGATCAGCGCTTGCTCGCAAGGAGGGGAAGACGAGCTAGCGTTGGAGCTCTTTGAGCTTATGCTTTTGGAAGATGGAGTGGAGGAGAATGCTGGACTCTGGTGGCCGTGCTCGACGCTTGCACGAATCTGGGATGGCTGGACAGGGGCGGAGAGATTTACTCGAAGTTTGCAAGAACAGGGATGGGGATTTCGTCCAGCGTTTTTGTCTCCAACAGTCTGATGGATATGTATGCAAATTGGGGGAGATTGCTGGATTGCTGGAGAGTTTTCGATGGGATGATAGAGCGGAGAATTCGGTCTCATGGAATGTTACGATCATGGGATATGCAAAAGGTGGCGAGGCCGAGCGAGCTCTCGAGTTATTCACGGCCATGCAAGCGTTAGACGTGGCCGTCAGCTCGAGAACTTTGGCGGCCTTTCTCCAGGCGTGGTTGGATATGGCCGAGAAGGAAGAGGCTCGGCTTGTGGATGGAAGACTCTTGAAAGTGGCGTTGCTGGAGAAGGCATTGGCTGGAAGACTCCAAGGACTGAAACAGGACTCGGCAGGCTTTTGCATCGGTACTTAAGGCCTGTGGGGGTCTTGGAGCACTACAGGCTGGACAGACAATCCATCGTCTGATCGAAGAAGCTGGGGCCGAGAACTCTCTGGTGGTGGCAAACTCGCTCATAAGTTTCTACGGCAAGTGTGGTGACATCGTGGAATCTCGCCGAGTGTTCGATGGGTTTCCAGACAATGACGCAGTGTCTTGGAGTGCACTGATCGCAGGATACAGCCGTCAAGGGGACAGTCCATGGCTGATCTACTTGGACGTGTTAATCAGCTGGAGGATGCGCTTGCGGTGGTGGAAAGCCTGCCTGTGGAAGAGGTGTGCTCCAGGATATGAATGGCTTTGCTTGGGGCTTGTTTCAATGTGGTGATTGGAAAGGTAGCCTTTGATGCTCTATCAAAGGTTGACGATCAAGGTGGTACAGCTTATGCTCTCATGGCAAACATATACTCAGGCTCAAACAATGAACACTATGACAACCTTGAAGTGATGAGTGCGTAATTAAGTTTCTATGACTTTGCATTTATCTAACTCTTGTTGTTTTCTTTGCAGCTGGATCTTTGTGATGTCACTTCAAGACATGAAATGTGGAAAGAGTTGGATCTTATGCTCCACTGATGGTAATTCCTGAAGCATGGGCTTGCTTCAAAGAGCCTCCTGTGAGACGAGCTCTCCAGGAAAGCACACAGAAATACCAGGTGGATACGGGCACACAGCAGTCGCTAGACCCACTACTTCATCAGCTTTGCAGCAGTAAGTTTCTGCAAAGAATGCATCTCTTGGACTAACTACTGCTTTTCATCCGTTTTTGTTACAATCAGGCACTCAAGGTCTGGAATAAGAACCTATTGTCAATCTGGAAGAACTCGAAAGCTCTTGAAAGCCTTTGATAAGTTTCTCAATGTCGCTGCTGCTAGTGCCAGCCATAGCAAAAGTTATGGAGTTCAGAAGAGGAAGCTCGGACACCACCTTGCATTTATCGCACAGAAAGCCATCAGCAAGGGTTCCTGCGACTCCGAGCTCCCACAAACCAATGGTGATCCTTAAGCTCATCAAAAATGGTATCAGCTTTGGCTGCCGAGCTCATATTTTCTCTATCAAGGACTAAAACTTCTGGCTTTCTTTCAGGCGTCGTCGAGCTGTGGAAGCCAGCTCCAGAGCTGTATCAAACGCTGGATGGTCATCGCTTGCTGCACAACTCATCTGGTCCCTTGCGGCATCGAGAGAGGCCAAGAGATGGTAACTCGGACTGGAGCTTTGCAAGGTTCGAAGGCACTTGCAAATTCTCTCGTGCTTTACAATCTTGCAGCCTCTCGTAACAAGGAAGAGCATAGTGAGGCATTGCTCCAGCAAGAACCATGGCTGAGAATGCTGAAACGTGGGGAGGATTGAAACGTCTCCTCGCTTGCAGCAGCTCATCACCGCCGCTTGAATTCCACACATAGAGCCGTTTACCAAGAACCACGAATACCCAGCTCCGAAATCATTTGCTGCGCTTCGGCTATGGCTTCTTGTGGCCAGGCCTGGCAGCTCCGGGAGATCAAACTGGAAGAGTTGAGCTCCGAGAAGCTTGGAAATCGAAGAGGCGCTGAGGCCGTGGCCTGGGAAGTGAAACGCAGCGACACGCTCCTCGCCGGTTCTCTTGAGAGCTTCAAGCAATGAGGGGAGCAGTAACGGAGGATGATTGTTGAGCACCGTCGTGGGCATAGCCATCCACGCCATGAATCACTCAAGCAAGAATACTTGATACACCAGGAATGCGAGACCCACAAATTTTCATCCAGCGACACAAAAGTCTCCAACCAAAATGTGGATCCAGCGTTAGAACCGTAGCTGAGAGATAGAATAATTTATTCTTTTGTAATATCGATCAGAATCGAACCCGAAACGTATGCTTTGAGAAACCGAGTTCCTAACTGACTGGTCTAAGTTGTTTTAGTGAAGAACAAGGGCTACTTAAAGAGCAAGATTTTCGCCTAAAAGTCCTTGTTGATTGGACCCTTCGGCATCGAACCCGGGTCTTCTACAACGGTTTACCTCTACACTTACCTGATAGCCATCATCTCAGCAACCGGTTCCAATAATAAAATTTCATACCATTGACTTCCACCACCTCTGCTTCCTCAATGAGAAACATGTGTCTGTCGGTACACTACGAGTCTAAAGGGACTCGGTCTGCAAACTCGTTTCCGAAAAAGTTTACTATCGCCAAGAATCAAAACATGAAAGTTAGAAAACACAGACAATCTGATTGAAAAACTACATGGAGAATGAAGTGGCTCAATATCCTAGTTGTCGAAGTGAATAGTCACTGGCAACCTTTCTAGCATTTTCTTGTAGCTGACTGATGTTTGGCTGACCAGCAAATAGGGTCATTTCAGCTTGGCAGATTGCGTTCTTGAGGAAGGAGGCCTTGCCTCTTCGGGATCACAATGATACATCCTGCCAATTTGCAAAAATCGAGACTTCTATAGTAAATCTGAATAGCAAAAGTGACATGTTCAGCTGCATCTCCATCCCAAACTTTCTTATGAAGGAATTTTCATAACACATTCTGGAGCTTTGGGAAATAAGTGGTTTCACCCTACAACTTCTATAATTGTGACTTGGACTTGATCTCAAATTTAGTTTTGGGCTCAATTTCAAACTCAATCTTAATTGGAAAAGGGGGTGCATTTTTATTCATGGGCTTTTTCCTTTTATATTTAAACTCTATAGATCATTTTTTAAGTTATTCTTTTTTATTGCTTACATTGGATTTGATCTCAAATTTAGTTTTGGATCTCAAATCTTAGATATATCCAGCCTAAACTCTTTATCATTTCAATCATTTGTCATTTCTTTATATATTATTAATCATGACCCCATACTTATAGAATTTGAACTAATGGGTATATGGGAGCATAGAGAATAGATTTCTAGATTAACTAAGAGTTATATTAGATTAATTTTTTAACCCTATAAAAATAAGAACTTTGTACTCAAAGTATTCAATATAAATCCATTTTTTCTTCTTTATTATTTTAGTATTTCATTAATAGTTTCATCTTCTTTTGATGACAATGAATCATAATCTATTATTAATCTTTTGAATTTTTGCTATGGGAAATGATAAGCTTTCTTGTGGAAGCATGAATCCCATGAAGCCAAAGGGATTTTACTAGCCTTTAGAAGATATTGGATTATGTATTATTTAACCATTTATCCCAAGGAACTCAGGGAGCTTCAAATTCAAGAAGTAAGAAAAGAGTATGTAGGATTTCAAAAGAGGTCAATTAAAAGCATAGAAGAATGTTAAAGATATTTTTGTAATTTTGGGGAAAATTGATATGATATGATAAAGTGACTTTGAACAACTTTTATGCTTATTTAATGTGTGCTTATTTAACAATATAATACTTTAAATAGAACTTTAAACAGATTACAAAAGAATTAAAGTTTAATTGTAGAATATCCTAGAATATACTTGAATATTCTAGGAAGCAAACAAAAAATGCTTGGTCAAAAACTTGAAGTGTTCTTCTGCTAGATTTAAAAATTAGTGTAAATACCCAAGTTTACTTTTAGGACTAATTTTAATTATCAATATTAATATTTTTAAAAATATATATTCTTTTAAAGTATAAATGGACTATAAAAATGTTAGATATATTAATACTTTCCTTAACAAAATGCATGCTATAATAGACATAGAAGGGCATAAAATATTTTTGACAGATCAATTTTTCAATATGGTGTTATATATTTGTTTCATCTTTGAAATATTAGCTTTGATTTTACCTATACTTAGTCAGCAACCACCACCACCACATACATATCCCCCTCAACCTGTAACCATTTTTGTTGCAAGATTAAATGCCATATCTTTATTGGAGTTCAATGAAGTTATAAATTCAATTGATACTTATATTTATTCTACTTATATTGATGGTGGAATATTTGGAATTGGAAGTAATTCTATTGTAGTCACTTTAAATAGAAACTTAGTCAGAATCTCATTTCACATCGTTGCCCCACTTTTTATGAGTGGGATTTGTGTGGCTGATCCATCTATACCAATTGGCTTCCCTTCATATAATGTGCGACAAGCATTTATATCTATTAGAAATCAAATAGTTATTGATGCTATAGTTATTTCTTACAGAACAAGAGTAAGTTTTTATGCGGAGATACGCACAGAATTTATGAATTTTGCAATAGCCTATGAACTAATAAGACTACAAACTGATTTACAATATAGTAATAGTTATCATCTGAAAATACCAGATAGTATTTATCTTGAAGATCATGATATAAGTGATTGTTGGAGCTTTGGATTTTCTCTTGTAAGCAACAATAATAAAGTTCCAGGATCTTATCTTCCAGCTGGAAATAGTTTAAACTCCGTAAATGGGTTATACAGGCTCACCATACAACCTAATGATTGCAAATTAGTATTAATTAATAAAAGAGATGGTGTGATCTTGTGGAGTAGTAGTCATTCTTATGAGCCTGTTATTGGATGTTTTGCACATCTTCAACATAATGGGAAGCTTGTCATAAAAAGCATTGCAAATAATATTTTTTGGGAAACTGATGTAGAATGTAGATTGAAAGATTGTTTTATAATTGCAAGTCTTGTGGTAAAAGGGGAAGGGAATGTATTCATTTATAACTTAGAAACTAAAATAGTGTTATGGAAAGCTATCTAGTAATAGTTTTAGAATATTGTCAAGTATCTAGAGACTAAACTTAAATATTGGGACGCTTTAAGAAAGGATTACCATAATTCAAATAACCAACAGCCCAACCAATTGCTCAGATCTAAATGACTAAGATAAATCTTACAGATTTTCAGTTGGTGGCACTCAAATTTTATATTAAATTTTCAGAAAGAGTATTTTTGTAATATGGTTTAGCGTAAAAGAAACATTTTGAAAAGATGCATGGGAATATACTCTCGCATTTGGAGATAGGGTTATGGCGGCCTCCTCTTTCGTTTGCTCGCCTTCCAGCGTCTTCGCTAGGCCTCCTCCCACTACCGCTAGCGCTGGAGGTCTGTGCTCGGCTTTCAGGGGCCTCAGCTTGGCCAGGCACCATTCTTTCGCTCCAATCAAGCAGCAGCAGAGCATTTCTCGCGTCGCTACCACGGTCAGCAAGCTCAAGACTCACAAGGTCCGTGTCGAATCTCTTTCTTGTTTAGAGAACCACTTGAGAAACGCTTGAGAAACGCTGCTTTGATTGCTTCTCAAGGCCTCGGCAAAGCGTTTCAAGGTGACTGGAGGCGGCATTTTGATGCGCAGGAGGGCTGGCAAGCAGCATCTCCTGGTGAAGAAGAATTCCAAGCGTAGGAAGCGTCTCTCGAAACTGGTTCGCTACGAAAAACTTCGCTCTCTTCTCGATTGAGACACTCGTGCGATCTTCCTTCTCTCCAGGTTCCGGTGAAAAGGAGCGACTACACAGGCATCGTACGAGCCTGCCCCTACATGAAAGTTAAGAGGTGAGAGCTCCCAAAAATCGTTTTTTCTCGAGCATCTGGAGACCATTTCCTTCCTTTTTCCAGGAGAAACCTCTTGCGCTCGGCAAGGAGAGCTCTTACTCCGGCAGTGGCAGCACCATCGCCACCACCACCACCATCAAGCGATCAAGACACGCCGTCGGCTTAGCCTCCGTAAGCTATTCTCCTGAAAGATGTTTGCCAGGAGCACGTAACCAGCCGAGTCCTTTGGACTCAAATCCATCACACTCTTGGCCGCCAGTGTCCCATGGTTGAGTTGCTTGAAGCTGCTGCAAGCTCCAAGCAGCGATCTCCACTCCAGAACATCCGGCTCGAAAGGCATGCTGATGATCAGATCCCTCGCGTCTTGCAGGTATCCCCCGCGGCTCAACAGGTCCACCATGCACGAGAAGTGCTGCTTCGCGGGGTTGAGACCATAGTCCTGGCTCATCGACACAAAGCAGCACCTCCCAGCGTAAACTCTTCCAAAGTGAGCGCAAGCCAAGAGATGGACGATGAAGCACACCGGATCCGGCCTCTCCACCGTCACCATCTCGTCCATGACACGAAAGACTTGGTCGAATCTCCCGTTCAAAGCGCTCACCACCAGCATTGCGCTCCATGCTACCGAGTCACGACTGGGCATACCATCGAACATCCTCTTGGCGACGCCGATATGCCCGTTCTGCCCATAGCCGGCCAGCACCGCCGTCCACGACACCATGTCCCACTCGGGCATCTCCCTGAGCAAAACTCTAGCTTCCAACAGATGCCCGTTTTGGGCATATGCTGCCGCCATGGAACTCCAAGCCACTGTGTCCCTCTCGGGCATGGTGTCAAAGACACACTTTGCTTCCTCTACATGGCCTGCTCGAGCATACGCCGATAAGAGAGCCGACCATGAAACAATATCTTGCTCGGGCAGAGCATCAAAGCTTTCCTTTGCGTTTGCGAGATCCCCACAAGCGGTATATGCAGCAAGCATGGCAGTCCCGCTGATGGAGTCATGCTCGGCCATGGCATCAAACACCAACTTCGCCTCGTCAAATCTAGACGCCGACGAGAAGAGCTTGAGCATCTCGGTGGCCTGGATCAAGCTCCAATGCGGCATCTCCTGGAGCAAAACTTTTGCTGCATCGACGTCTCGAGCATGGATCAAGCCCGCCAGCATCGTGTCGCTCGATTTGGAGTCTCTCTGTGGCATGTCCTCGAAGACCCTCTTGGCATCGTCGATCCGGCCGTGCCAAGCGTAGAGCCCGATCATCACGTTGGACGAGACGGCATCCCACTGTGGCATGGATTCCACAAACATAAGCTCGGCTTCGTCCGTGAAACCATTCGCAGCAAACGAGGAAAGAATTGCTGTGTTTGCCACCATGTCTCTCTCTGGAAGCCCATCAAAGAGAGCCTTGGCCTCGGCAACACGACCGCTGTGAGCATAAACTCCCAGCATCGCTGTTGACGATACCAGATTTCGAACTGGCATTTTAGCGAAGAGTTCTTGAGCTTCCTCCACGAAACCATGCTCGGCATAAGCACCCAGCATTACGTTCCAGGAGACTGAGCATCGGAGTGGGATCTCATGAAACAGCTTTGCCGCCTCAACAAGATGCCCGTTTTGGGCATATGCAGAAAGGAGTGTGTTCCAGCAGACGAGATTGCGTTCTGGCATGTCATCAAACAAAGCTTTTGCTAGATCTGAATTACCATCTTGCGCTAGAGCTGCAAGCATTGTGCTCCAAGTGATCAAGTTTCTCTGAGGCATGATACTGAAAATTTTCTTCGCGATGGGCATATGCCCGTTTTGGGCATATGCAGCCATCATCGCATTCCAGGCTATAAGATCTAGCTTGGGCATTTGATCAAAAATTCTTCTAGCTTCTTTAAGTCGCCCGTGTTCTGCGTACGCCACCAAGAGAGAAGTCCATGACACCAAATTCCTTGTTTCCATGGCATCAAACACTCGTTTAGCCTCGTCCAGATGCCCGGATTGGGCATATGCTGATACCATGACAGTCCAGGAGAAAAGCAGCCTCTCCGGCATGGCATCGAAAATCCCCCGCGCGTTCTCGAGCTGCCGGTCCCGGGCATAGGCAGCCAACATGAGCTCCCAGGTGAAAGAGTTCCTGGCGTCCATGGCGTTGAAGATCTTGCGTGCCCGCTGCGGGCATCCACACCGCCCATACATCTCGATGAGCTTGTTGGAGAAGAACACGTCCCCGGGCGTGTGCAAGTGCTGGATTCGTATATGAATATCTTTCGCCCGAGCGAGGCTGTGGCAGGATTGCATGAGTCGAATGCCCTCCTCCCGCTCCATCGCTTCATGGTCTGCGTGAATCCAAAGCTTGCCTCACGAGAAACGATGGGAATCCTGGAAGAAATACAGCGCCAGTTTTGCAGCTCTTGCGCCTGGCGTTTGCGAAGCGTACAAGCATTCGCGTGGAAACAGCCCTAGTCAACGCGTTTGAATGGAGAGGATATTCGTAGAATCTAAAGGATACTACCAGCCAGCAAATAATAATACATGTCTTAAGACAATAAAACAAAGAAAATATAAGATTAATTATTAGGACACTAAAAAATATAAATCAATAAAATAAACAAGCAAACCAAGTTTTTCTTCAAACAAAGCATAGTAACATATTAGAATATGTACTAAGATTGTATTCGTACCTAGTCAATTAATCCATTCTAAAAGCATCACAATTCCATACACTTTTTGAGTTTCTAAGTTATAAATGAATACACTCCCTACTAAACTCTCCCAAAAAAATATTTGTAAAAACAAGTTTGCAGATGTGCAAAACATCCATCAGCAGAATTATAAGGATGATCACTACTCTACAAAACCACACCGTCCCTTTGCTAATTAACACTAGTTTGCAATCCTTTGTTAGTATAGTCCATTACTGAGTTCCATCTAGAAGATAAGATCCCTGAACTTTATTACAGTTGCTTATGAGAGAAGATCCAAAAGTTCCAACAATTATTTATATCATGGTCTTTGGGGAAATGTCATTTGAAATTCTTACAATTATTACTTAAACACCGTGATGGTTACGTAAACACCAAAATAAATTTCATTTGATTATTTTAACTTTTTTACTCTATCCTCCAAAATAAGCATAAAAGTCCATCTTAAGAAGCACCAAAACAAGAAAATTCTTCTATTGAATCATTTCATTTATCATTCTTAAACGTACAAAGATAAAAACAGATATTGAATTAATATTTAAAAAATTCATACTAAATTTCACTCCTCACATAAGACATTTGGATCACTTGCCTTGAGAAGTACAATAAAAAATGCTTCAAAACATTCACATCTGACATCACTTTCTATATTGGAATGCTTTGAGCTCTTGCCTTGAGCGTCTTGACAAACGTTAAACGGCTGATTTTTCGAGCCAGCTGGGGTTTCAAGTAAATCATGTTTGTCAGTCAGTCCGAAAGCCGGTCTAAAATTCCAAAATGTAGCATCGTCTTGGATACATCTCGATAAGCTTACGTCCCCGGGCGTGTGCAAGTGCTGCATTCGAATATGGATATCGGGGAGGCTGTGGCAGGATCGAATGCCCTCCGCCATCTCCATCATGGTATGCGTTAATCCAAAGCTTGCTCACGAGGAACGATGAGAATCCTGGAAGAAATACAGCGACAGTTTTGCAGCTCCTGCGCCTGGCGTTGCTTGTGGAGCGTACAAGCATTCGCCAGGAAATGGTGGAGACCACTCCAAGTTTGGATGGAGAGGCTATTCGTAGGATCTAGAGGATATTCGTCAAATCCCTTTTTGTGCCCAATTATAAATATACGGTGTTGTACTGCAAGGAAGAAAAATGGTTTTGCTGTCCCGTCCATGGTGGACGATTTTTGTAGTGTTCCTGGCACTCTTGTCTCCAGCAAAAAATCTCGCCAAGCTGAGGACGATTCCAAGTACGGCTGACGGACCCTTCGATCCAGTGACTGTTGCTCTCGACGAGCGCCTCCCAATCGGGAGCGATGATCTGCCCAACAATGATCCTCGCCTCGCCAAGATCGTTCCAGGATTCCACCCCGAGCAAATCGCTTTGGCGCAAGGGACGGACTCCAGCTCCATGTTTGTGTCATGGATCACAGGTATGGAATGGAGCAAAGATTTGCAGGGTTTTGATCGACTAACGTGGTTTCGATGAATCAGGAGAGTTTCAAGTCGGACAGGACGTGACGCCGCTCAATCCTTCGCTCATCAAGAGCGTCGTTGAGTATGGAATCTTCAAGCTAGACCACTTTGCTGTTGGCAAAGCTTCGGTCTATAGCCAGCTCTATCCTTACAAGGGACTCAACAATTATACATCAGGAATCATCCATCATGTCAAATTGCAAGGTTCTTTCTCTTCCTTTCCTTGAAAACAATCAGCTAGTGATTGACCATACTGATCTTGGTTTTCTCACAGGATTAAAGTCCAGCACGACGTACTACTACCGATGTGGAGATCCTTTTGCCAAAGCCATGAGTCCTGTTTACTCGTTCACAACACTGCCTGCGAAAGGACCATACTTTTACCCCAAGCGCATCGCGATTGTTGGTGATCTGGGCCTTACGTACAACACAACCTCGACCATTTGTCACCTCCAGAGAAACAAGCCCGACTTGAATGTGTTCTTGGGCGATTTGAGCTACGCCAATCTTTACGTCACAAACGGGACAGGATCTTCGTGCTACAAGTGCGCGTTCCCGGAGACGCCGATTCACGAGACGTATCAACCTCGGTGGGACTACTGGGGAAGGCAAGTGTTTCCTTCACAATCGATCGCCAAAGCTCTTCGTCTTACTACAACTTTGGAACTTTTCTTGCAGATATCTCCAAAGTCTGAGATCCAAAGTTCCAACCATGGTGATCGAGGGCAATCACGAATACGAGCTCCAAGCCCAAAACAACACCTTTGTCGCCTACAACGCACGCTTCGCGGTTCCATACCGCGAAAGCGGCTCGCCCACAAAGATGTACTACTCGTTCAATGCCGGAGGAGCGCATTTTATCATGCTGGGAGGCTACATCGACTACAGCAATTCAAGTAACTGACTTACCATTGACTAGAGATGACTTTCGGCTGACCTTTTGCTCCAGGTCAACAGTATGCGTGGCTCGAGAAGGACCTCATGAGCGTTGACCGGGAGGAAACGCCATGGCTTATTGTAGCGTTCCATCAACCTTGGTACAACAGTTACAAATCCCACTACCGGGAAGCCGAGTGTATGAGGCAGTCAATGGAGGATCTCTTGTACAAATTTGGAGTTGACATTGTGTTCTCTGGGCATGTAAGTAGTCAAGCCTGTCTTTTCTTTCTTTGACCAACACGTTTGACTAACAGGTTCACGCCTACGAGCGCATGAATCTCGTCTACAACTACGAGTATGACCGGTGCGCGCCGCTGTTCATCACGGTCGGCGATGGCGGCAACAGGGAAGGCATGGCGATCAAGCACGCTGACGATCCGGGGGCTTGTCCCAAGCCCGAGTCAACGCCGGATCCCGTTGGAGTCCCGTATGAGTACTGTGGATTCAACTTCACATCTGGTCCGGCAGCTGGAAAGTTTTGCTGGGACAGACAACCGGATTGGAGTGCGTTCCGGGACAGCAGCTTCGGCCATGGAATCCTCGAGGTAAGAGAGTTCTCTGCCTATCTTGCTTGATCATCGGCTAATGATCTGCATTTCATGGATTGTAGATCGAGAGCCCAACTCGAGCACTCTGGACTTGGCATAGGAATCAAGACACTTATCTCAGCGAGAACCACGTTGGAGATCAGATATACATTGTGAGGCGGCCGGAAGTCTGTCCGAATCGCAAAAGCCATGATATCCTTGCTGTGTAGCCTCGAATTCCAAACAAAGAAACGAGGCGCCCGGTCGCTTTGCCAGGCCTTTTCTTCTCATGGCTTTTCGTATCGCAACCTCGTCTTCTTTCCTGCGAAGCTCGGCGTAGATGCAAGCCAGCGCGATGTAGGACGCGGCGTTCTCTGGATCCAGCTTGAACACGAGCTTTGCCGCTCGATCCGCTCGAGTAACATCCTGGTGAAGCTTGCAAGCTCCCAAGAGCGTGCACCAAGTTACCGCGTCCGGGAGATATGGCATCGTCTCGATGAGCTCCTCGGCTCTGGCTAGCTGCCCGGCACGGCCGAGAATGTCCACCATGCAGCAGTAGTGTTCCTTGGCTGGAGTAAGATCAAAGTCGCGGATCATGGACGTAAAGAAGCTCAAGCCTTGATCCAAGAGCCCGACATGGCTGCAAGCCGAGAGGATGCTTATGAAGATGGTGTTGTCCGGGCGGAGTCCTTCGACCAACATCCTCGTACAAAGCTCGATCCCAACGCGGCCCTGTCCGTTTGAGGCATAAGCAGCAACAATCGCGTTCCAAGTCATGATGTTGCGATTGGGAATGCTCTCAAACATTGCTCGAGCTTCGTCCACCAGTCCATTGTGGCCAAAGATTTGCATCACAAGGTTCCACGACACGATGCTCCACTTGGGCATCTTGGAGAACGTCCACTTGGTGAGCTCCACGAGACTATCCAGCGCATACGCAGCAAGCAAAGCGTTCCAGGAGATGATGCTCCGGGGAGGCATAGTTTCAAAGATCTCCACACACTTCTCGACCTCGAGCTGGTTCGCATGAGCTCCAAGCATGCAATCGAACGAGACCAAATCCCAACAAGGCATCTTGCTAAAAACCAACTTTGCCTCATCCAAATGACCACACAAGGCATTTGCTCCAATCAAAGCAGTCCAAGACACCACATTTCTCTCTCTCATCTCAATGAACACCCTCCAAGCCTTCGCGTCACAGCCATTTATCCCGTACGCTTTGATCATCGCCGTGGACGTGACAACGCTCTCGTCTTGTACGGAAGTAAACACTCTCCGTGCTTGCTCAATATACCCGTTCTCGGCATTTGCGCAGATCAGGACCGTCCAAGTGATGGTATTCCACGCTGGCATGATCGCAAAGAGGAATCTTCCCTCGCTTAGATACCCTCGATCGGAATATGCCTGGGCTATGGAGTTCCACGAGACAATGTCTCGCGTGGGCATCATATCAAACACGCGCTTAGCCTCCTGCAAGCTCTCGCCGCAATCCACGAATGCCCGGATCATCGCGTTCCACGACACGATCGATCGATCCGGCATGCAATCGAATTCGCGAATCGCTTCTTCCAGGTGCCCGTGCTCCGCATAGGCCGAGATCATGAGCGTGGACGACACCGCATTGCAGCTCGGCATGCGCGCGTGGATCGATTCTGCCTCGCCCAGATCCTCGCGATGCGTCTTGAGCAGGATCGTCCAGCTGATCTCATCGCGCTGGGCGATCTCTGCGAATGCCGCGTCTACTGCGGTGACATCTCCGCGCTGCGAGAGAGATTCGAGGTAGGCGTTCCAGCTCGCGGTGCTCTGATCCGGCGTGGAATCCATGATCTTCTTCGCGAGGGAGAGATCTCCATTGCGGGCAAAGGCGACCGCCATCGCAGAGGAGGAGACTAGATCGTGCTGCGGCATGAGATGGAAGCAAGATCTGCCATCGTCCAATGAGCGATCGATGGAAGCCATAGCAGCCACCATGGTCGCCCAAGACACATCGTTGCGCGCCGGCATGGAATCGAAGGCCTCCTTTGCGGAACCAAGATGCCCTCTCTTGGCAAATTCTGCAATCAAAGAGTTCCACGAGGAGAAGTTCCACTGTGGCATTTTCTGGAACATTGCTAATGCTTCGTCCAAGCTTCCATGCTCTGCTATGGCGTGTATCATGGCGTTCCAGGCCACGAGATCTCTGGTAGGCATTTCATGGAAAAGATCCAAGGAATTTCCAAGATGCCCTTTCTGGGCATTTGTCACAAGCAATGCGGTCCAGGACACGGCATCCCTTACGGGCATTTGATCGAAGAGGGCTTTCGCCTCTCTTGTGTTTCCGGCGAGGAGATAGGCCTGCGCGAGGATGTTCCAAGAGTAGACATTGGGCTCGCGGATCTCGTCAAAGACGGCGTGGGCGTCAGCGATGCTACCATGGCGGCCATACATCTGGATGAGATTGTTGGCGAGGAAGAGGTTGGTTGCGTGATCGCTGCGCCGGATCTCGCCGTGAATCCATCGGCCATGGCAGAGATCCTCGCAGGATTTCAAGAGCTGGGCAAAGTGCCCGGTTTCTCGGAATGCCCGGAGCGATTGGGCGTGGGCGACCATTCAACCGCCAGTAGTCCATCCTGGAGATCAATCCATCGCCCTAGTTCATAGTCTTTCAAGCTGGATCATCAAGTGGGCAGCCATTCAATCGCGAGCTCCGATCTCCTCCAGCAAATCCAGCACTGCAAATCGCTCGCTACTGCCCGGGTGATCCACGAATCCATCAAGAATGCGAGCGGCTATGGAGGGAGAATCTTTAAGAATAAGATGGTCGAGCTCTATGGAAGGCTTGGGTGTGTCAAGGATGCTCGAGAGGCCTTTGACGCGCTCCATCCAAAGGATTCCTTCTCGTGGAGCTTTATGCTTTTGGCATATGCTCGAAACGGGCATCTGGAAGATGCGAAGAATACCTTTGATAAGATGCCTTGCAAGGATGCTGTGGTCTGGAATTCCATGCTGAATGCCTACATTGGAGTTGGTCATGCGAACGATGCCTTGGAATTCTTTGAATCGATGCCGCAAAAAACTCTTTCTTCCTTCAACATGATCCTTGCGTTATATGCCCATCAAGGGCATCTTGACATGGCAAAAGCTCATTTTGATGCAATGCCTCTTCACTGTTTGATCTCCTGGACAAGTTTGGCTGTTGCTTATGCTCGAAATGGAGAAGTTAGAGCTAGCGAGGAAATCTTTTCCCAAATGCCGATGCACGACATAATCTGCTGCAATGCGATGCTATCTGCATACGGCAACAGTGGAAAAACACTCCATGCACAAAAGATGCTTGAAGAGATGGAGTCCGTCAACTTGATCTCTCTATCAACCATGTTAGCCGCATATAGCGAGAATGGCTTCTTGGAAGCGGCAGAAGGTCTCTATAATAGAATGCCACAGAGAGATTTGATAGTCTGGAACACCATGCTCGCAACATACACACAGCATGGAGATTTGACCCGGGCAGAAAAAGTTTTTGATGAAATGCCAGAGGCAAACAGTGCCTCATGGACGTCTATGCTGACAGCATATGCCCAGCGAGGGTATCCGGAGAAGGCAAAGGATTACTTTGCTAGAATGCCGCAGCATGACTTGATCTCTCAAAATGCCATGCTTTCAGCTTATATTCACAGGGGTAGAGTCGAGGATGCGAGAGAAATATTCGATTGGATGCCAGAAAAGAACTTGGTGTCGTGGAATGCCATTCTGGCAGCCTATTCTCAAAGAGGTCATCTGGAAAACGCTGCTTGTATATTTCGAGAAATGCCGTTTCTGGACGTGATTTCGTGTAATACGATGCTCATGTCGCTTGTGCAGAGTGAAAATCTCGAAAGAGCTCGGGAGTTTTTCAATGGAATGCCAGATCGAGACCTCATAACCTGGAACACAATGCTAACAGCCTACACGCAAAGAGGAAAGCTTCTCCCAGCCAGAGATCTGTTCGAAAGAATGACAGAAAGAAGCATAATATCCTGGAACTCAATGCTAGATGTATATGCCCAATCTGGGAAAATTGAGGAAGCGAAGAACGCTTTTGATTTGATGCCAGAACACGACCCTTCATCCTCAACATGTGTTCTCGCTGCATATTCCCGGGATGCATATGTCGATGACGCTGAGAAGTTTTTTATATCAATTCCATGGAAAGATCAACCAGTGTGGAACATTATGTTGTCTATATATGCCCAGGCCGGGCATACCAACAAAACCAAGGCCTTGTTTGATAGCATGCCACTCAAGAACTTGGTATCGTGGAATGTCCTTCTGTTTTCTTATGTCAAGAGTGGACAAGTTGAGAGAGCTGTCAAAGTTTTCTACTCTACTCCAGAGTGCGGTGTGATAACTTGGAGCACTGTTTTGGCTGGTCTCACCAACAGCAGCGACTCCACTCGTGCATTGGAAATGTTTGATACGATGAAAACACTAGATCTGGTGGACGAAGTCTCTTTCGTGTCTGCTCTCATAGCATGCAGTCGTGGAGGCAGTGTGGACGATTGCAAGAGCTGCTTTAGCTCTATGATCCTCGACTTTGGCCTTGATCCAGGAAAGCAACACTATTGCTGCGTGATCGATGGTTTGAGCCGTGCTGGGCATTTGGGTGCTGCTCAAGATCTCATCGCAAGCATGCCTTTTGTGCCAGATGCTTTACACTTGAGATGTTTTCTTGGAAGTTGTTCGTGGAATAACATCCGTGACGGGGTAGAAGGAGTGAGAGATCTTTTCAGCTTGGACCCGAAAGGAGGAGCTGCTTATGTGTTGTTTAATCGAAGGCTTTTGCCTCAATTTACATTCGATCAAACACAATAATTATACTGTTTTGCTCATGGCGATGGAGAAGGATTTGGCGGTCAAACCATCCGGTCCGGTCAACCACACGGCCTGGAAACTCATCTTCCAGCGCCTTGAAACTTCGAGCCAACAGCTCTCATTGAAGCAGTGTTGCTTAGGATTCGTCTGCAGTATCTTCCAGAGGGTGTTGTTGAAGATATACTAGCGCGTTTGGCAGTGCGGGATGCGCGAGAGATGGATGCGCATGTTGTGCAACGCAAGGTTGCATATGATTTGGGCGTCTTGGCCTTCTAGGGCCCGTTTCAGTCTTGCCAGTTGCATTGCTCTTATGCCAAGACACGATCAATCCCCAACTTTAAGATCGTACAGCTTCAACAGGAGCTGGTCATTCCAAGCACGATCGGCTTGGTGTGAATGATTTATGATGGCTGGAGGTTGTTTGGGTTTGCGCTCCAGTCCAGGCCATGATGGTGAGTTTCTAGTTGGGAATCCAGTGACTAAGCAATGGGTTACCACTACAGCAACGCCCGCAGCAACGTCATTATTATATGGTTCTGATGGTGGTAGTTCTGGTGATGGAACCGGGAGGGCCATGCTCAGCTTCCAGGACAAGGTCAGCGGCAAGTTAGAGTTCAGAATCTTCCTAGCGGGATTTGACTTTGATTCAAGAGTCGGACGCTGGGGTCCGATTCACAAGCTCTTTACCAGAAACTTAGTGCTGACTTCCATGATCTGCATTGAGGGTGGTGAGTGGTATTGTTTGGCGTTGGATCCGTAGGATTGGAAGAAGCTGATCAATTTGGAGCATCCTGATCAATCCTACCCGTCTGTGCCAGTAGGCAGCGGTCGAGACTTCGGCTTGGTGGAAATCGGCAGTGGCATTGGTATTCTTTCGAGCAAGGATATCTTGAGAGGTGATTACTGCTGGGAGAGGCAACCAGCGGACGACATTATTACAGAATCTCAAGTGCTGGTCGAACTCAAAAAGACCAAGCCCCTCCGTCCAAAGTAGTCATGGACCAAATTCCGCAACTTCATGTTGCTATAATGCTTGGAGAGGAGGATTGGCGCCGTTTTGGATTTGAGCAGTTTGGGTTCGTGAGAAGCCCAAGTAGAGGGTTTGTCTATTGTTTAGAGCTTGACTTTGGGGAAGATGAACCACAGGGTATTAATATGATGTAAGATTTCCGTCACAAGGAGAACTGTATCACTCCAGGATCTTCTATGAACTACTTGACCGATCAAGCACACCACCCCCAATCCATGTCCAGATTGGAAAAACTTGGACACCAACAGCCCATGTTGTTCCAGTTAACATCCCGAGTGCTTCTGAATGGATTTGACACGCGGCTCCACTCTCTCAACGCCAGCTCGAAGCGAAACACCTCCTTGCAAGAGCTCAAGTCGCCACTCTTGGAAACAAATGCCACCAAGACAGTGTTGGCCATCCCAAACGCAAACCAGCCGGCACAATCGTCCTGCGAGATTGACTCTTTCAACAACCCATGCACGTACTTGTCTGGCAACTTTGATACATCCTCCCAGTCCTCGTTGTTGCTGCAGACACAAAGTTCTTCCATAGCGAGGTGACTTCCGTGGACCGTCTTTGCAACACGGCACGCATGACACGATCCTTTTCGATTCTTTGCACCACCATGACAACCAGGCTTGTACAGCCAGATTCTCACGCAACCTTGGAAATGCAAGCGCCTCTCCATCGAAACACACACAAACACGCCGTGTTCCAGCTGAAAGAAGCGATACTTGACGCTCCCAGCACTTGGTGGAAGATGAAAGCTTCGCCCCTTGATCGGCCTGGGAGAGCTGATTGTTCTAACTGGATTTCCTGTCGCTTCCAAAACATCCAGCTGTTGCAGCGAGCTCGTGCCCAGGACATTAGCGTACATCAGATGCCGCGAGCACTCGAGCTTGATGCTCGAATCTCCATTGAACCTCTCACCCAAGTAGCAAATCCGCGTCCAGTCCTCCACCGGGGGAGCACCCACTGCCTCGAGCTTCAGGCTCGGGTTGAGCTTGCAGAGCCTGTGTGACTTGGGCGTGACAATGACTAGAAACTCTGATTCCACCGATGGAAGATTAATCTCTTTTACGAATCCAGTCACTGGGTTCCAAGCAAAGATGGTTTGAGTGTTGCTGTTCTCCTTGAAGAAGAGAATTCCACCCGCGACTCCGCAAAGATGACCCTTGATCTGGGATGGATACGGTAGCTTGTAGTTGCAAAATCCTCTTTCCATATCCCATACATGCAACACTTTTCCATTGTCATAAACGAGAGCGTGCCTCAGCCTGCTCACACTCTCCGCCACCTGGTAGTTCTTGCTTTTGCTATCGCTGGTTTCATAAGGAGTGTACCTTGCACCACATCTCGTCTTTCCAAGCTTTGCCATGACCTAATAAGTTACACCCTTAAACCCTTTATAATGGAGCACTCGAAGGATTTATGATAGTAAGGAGCTCTTTCGTGTGCTCCAATCGCTTAGCGCGGGCTATCAAATCAACCACGCAGCAGTAGTGCTGTCTCGTGGATGTGAATTCATAATCTTCCACCATAGACGCAAACAAACTTCTCCCGATTAGCAGCGACACGAAACAAGCCTCGTCGGGCAAATCCACCATCTTCATATGGTCAAAAACTTGGAATGCCTCGAGTATGTCACCAGCGAGAGCAAACTTGGCTACCATCACGCCCCATGAAACTACACTTCGCTCGGGCATATCCTGAAAGAACTGCTCCAAACGAGATATATGCCACAAGCATTGCATTCCAAACACAGAAGCTATTCTCCGGAACTTCTAAGAACAGCGAGAATGTGTCTTCTAAATGCCTGTTTTGGGCACACGCAGTGATCATCTTCGCCCAGCAGATTGAACTCCTTTCAGGCATTTGATTGAAGGTATTCTTAGCTTCATCGAGACAGCCACGCCGTACGTAAGCAGATAACAAGGCAATCCACACCACTATATCTTTTTGCAAATGTAGCCCATCAAAGCTTTGCTTCACTATCTCCAGATCTCCAACCATGGTATACGCAGAAAACCAAGTAGTCCAAGCAACCACATCAAGTTGTGGCATCCTATCCAAAACTTGCTTGGCCTTGTCCAACTTTTCAACACGAATGTAGCCACCCACCATCATCGTCCATGAAATGGTGTCGAGAAAAGGCATAGACGTAAACACATGTTCTGCGAGATCCTAAAGCTGTTCCAAGATGTAAGCTCAGCTTCCGGCACCATGTCAAACACAAATTTTGCTTCTTTAAAGCTTTCTTCTTGGCAATACACATTAATCATAATGTTCCAGGTCGTCAAATTGCGCTCGGGCATGCGAGATAACAACTCCTTGGCTTCGTCAAACTGGGAGTTTGCTACGAGTAATGCAATCAAAGCATTCCAAGTAATTAGATAATGTTTCAGCATCATATTGTAAATGGCTTTAGCTGTTTTGATCGCACCACAGTTTCCAAAGCCAGACAACAAAGCATTCCAGCTTACCAAGTTCCTCTCCGACATTGCATGAAAGAGAGACTGGGCTTTGTTCCAAGCGTTGCATCATGCACGAAGTGGTGTAACTTCCTTTGGATTGTTGTCTTTCTTCTTATATTTCTTCCCCAACTTCGAACGCATTTTGCTCGTCCAAACTGGAAAAAAGTGTTTGCGAGGCTTGCCTTCATTCATCCAGGTGCCAGAATTGGTCTGTTTTACTGCGGAAACTCGGCAGCAGGAAAGGAGCTCGACCTTCTCTCGCGGTCTCGGAGAAAGGCAAAGTTCACCCGGCTAGCTTATTTAAAGGCAAAAGTTGTGCAAGGGATGGTGAAGACACGCAGAATGAGCTCCGCAGCGAGCAGCAGTGGCAGCGGCAGCCACAGGTTCCCTATTCCCGTGACCAGAAGGGACAGTTCTGGCTTGCGAGAAGCGGTCTCGGCGACCCTGGAATCGTTGCTGGCCACGGGCAGCTGGCAGTTCGTTGACTCTGTGTGGAAACAGGTGAGGAAGAAAGCACAAAAGCCAGGAGCGGACGAGCGTGGCAACACTCCCTCAGACCTTGCCGACTTCAATGTATGGAAGGACTACCAGGGCAAGGATGCTGGGGAGGCCAAATTTCTTTGCTACAGGCCAGACTTTGCAAAGCCTCCTTTGCCATTGCAACTTGTCTGCGAGGCGTTCGCGAAGTTCAAGCAGGATGCAACATAAGGTGTTCCCGAGGAAGTGGACATGGACTTTGCGGAGGCATTCTGCAAATGGGTGCAGAGTGACGAGTATGTGGAATGTCACGAGGAGGAGGTTCAGTCGATGCTTCAGGGACTCGTCAGCCGCTACCTAGAGGCGATTGTCACACCGTACTTCACGCTACAGGGACGAGTTCAACTGGATGGCATTCAACACACGGCCACGTCCATTCGCCTTGTTTTTTAATTCAAGTCGCAAGCAGGCAACGCTGGCGATCCGGACTTCCAGGTGCTGGATGGCTACCTCAGGGCATGCACTTTGTACGGTGGATTACAACCAAGTCGGTCGTATGCTTTGGAGGGTGTGGGGAGCTACTGTCGAAAATGGCAAGGTTTGGGCGGAACCTTTTGCCGAGACCAAGTGTTACGGCCCTGAAGAATACCTGGTAGCCACAGAAAGGATATGGAGGGCAATCCATCGCTTCGTTCAGGGCTACAAGGTGGTACCACTACAGTCGCCACCAATACCATGGCCGATAGCCAAGGAGACTTCTGTGCACCAGCTGGCGGAGGGCAAGCTTGTATTTCGCTACGAGAACAGTCAGGGCGAGCCGGAGGTGGCCAAGTTTGTATCCAAGTACAGCTTGGACGCACACAAGGCATGGTTACCATATGCACCAGAGCTCCGCAGTGACGTTTTTGAGAAGCATGGAGTGAGGATGATCAGGATGGAGTACTTGACTCGAGAGAAGGGATGGATTCCCGCTGATGAAGTTGTGAAGAATGTAAAGGGTGATGCGGGGCACGTTGCTAAGCTGACTGAGTGCATCGCGGTGGCACTCGATGTTGGTCACAACAAAGGCTTTGTCCACGGTGATCTCAGGCTTTGCAATATCCTCCTCCGTGAGTCCCAAACAGTTGAAGCCGATGGATATCCCAAGTATGATGCCAAGATTGTCAACTTTGATTGGGCCGGCTTGGCTGGGCATGTGGCCTATCCACGGATGAACAAGGCCATCTCGTGGCCTCCAGGTGCGCGCTACGGTGTTGCTATCACTAAAGAGCATGATATCTACTTCAAGGATAATATGGTGGAGCAGCTTAATGTCTAAGAAGGTTGGAGTTCAGTATTCTTTTTATTTTTTTGCCGAGATGCGCATCCTTTCCATGTAAAAACCTCAGTGGACCTTTGGTTTTGTATTTTGGTGACACGCGAATGTAAGTCGTGCGCTCTAAGAGTTCTCCGACATGTTCTTAGTCGCTCAGATCGAAGGTTTTGGATTTCCTAATATTCATTTGACAAGTCAATCAAACTGTGTCAATACTTGGAGATTGCGCAGCTGAAACCAGCCATGGAGTTCGTCCCTGGCCGAGCACTGCATGGTGGACGCTCTTACCCTCGCAAACGAGCTAGAGGAACGCTGGAAATGGTGGAAAGCGAGGCGAGTAGTGTTTGCTTGGAGAATGGTGCTCGTTTAGACGGTTCTCGATTATAGAGGCCAAGTTCTCAAAGAGGAAGATTCTGGGAGTGGTTAGGGGACGCGAGCAAATGCCAGCGATTCTTCCTAAGTCGCAAGGATGATTATGGAGCAGTGGCATGAGGATTTTGAGCTATGTTGATTGAGCATGTTCAATCAGAGGACATCCTCAAGATCAAGAATTCTCAAACTGGCTTGGTGTGCGCTTCCACAATTCTATTGTGAAAAATCATGGGCTACGGAGATGAGCATATTCCGGAAAATGGTGAATTGTTGGCAGGGTCCTCATGAGAAGGTGCAAGACAACATCGACCAGATGATGGAACTCGGTGGCACTCGGTAAACTGCTTGGAGAGGAGGATTGACGCCGTTTTGGATTTGAGAAGTTTGAATTGGCAGACGTTTAAGGGGCTCGTGAGAAGCCCAAGTAGAGGGTGTGTCTATCGTTTAGAGCTTGACTTTGGGGTTGTAAGATGAACCACAGGGTAAGCTGTATATTAATATGATGTAAGATTTCCGTCATAAAGAGAACTGTATCACTCCAGGATCTTCTATGAACTACTTGATCCATCAAGGACACAACCCCCAATCCATGTCCAGATTGGAAGAACTTGGACACCAGCAGCTCATGTTGTTCCAGTTAACACCCCGAGAGCTTCTGAATGGATTTGCCACACGGGTCCACTCTCTCAACGCCAGCTCGAAGCGAAACACCTCCTTGCAAGAGCTCAAGTCGCCACTCTTGGAAACAAATGCCACCAAGACAATGTTGGCCATCCCAAACGCAAACCAGCCGGCACCATCGTCCTGCGAGATTGACTCTTTCAATAACCCCTGCACGTACTTGTCTGGCAACTTTGACACGTCTTCCCAGTCCTCATTGTTGCTGCATGCACAAAGTTCTTCCATAGCGAGGTGACTTCCGTGGACCGTCTTTGCAACACGGCATGCATGGCACGATCCTTTAAGACTCTTTGCACCACCATGACAACCAGGCTTGTACAGCCAGATCCTCACGCAACCTTGGGAATGCAAGCGCCTCTGCATCGAAACACACACAAACACGTCCTGCTCCAGCTGAAAGAAGCGATACTTGACGCTCCCAGCACTTCGCGGAAGATGAAAGCTTCGCCCCTTGAACGGCCTGGGAGAGCTGATTGTTCTAACTGGATTTCCTGTCGCTAAAACATCCAGCTGTTGCAGCGAGCTCGTGCCCAGGACATTGGCATACATCACATGTCGCGAGCACTCGAGCTTGATGCCCGAGTCTCCATTGAACCTCTCGCCCAAGTAGCAAATCCGCGTCCAGTCCTCCACCGGGGGAGCACCCACTGCCTCGAGCTTCAGGCTCGGGTTGAGCTTGCAGAGCCTGTGTGACTTGGGCGTGACAATGACTAGAAACTCTGACTCCACCGATGGAAGATTAATCTCTTTTACGAATCCAGTCACTGGGTTCCAAGCAAAGATGGTTTGAGTGCTGCTGTTCTCCTTGAAGAAGAGAATTCCACCCGCGACTCCGCAAAGATGACCCTTGATCTGGGATGGATATGGTAGCTTGTAGTTGCAAAATCCTCTTTCCATATCCCATACATGCAACACTTTTCCATTGTCATAAACGAGAGCGTGCCTCAGCCTGCTCACACTCTCCGCCACCTGGTAGTTCTTGCTTTTGCTATCGCCGGTTTCGTAAGGAGCGGACCTTGCACCACATCTCGTCTTTCCAAGCTTTGCCATGACCTAATAACTTACACCCTTAAACCCTTTACAATGGAGCACTTATAACTGATGTCCAGCCGAATGATTTATCTTCAAATGGCATGGCACTAAGGAGCTCTTTCGCGTGCTCTAAACGCTTGGCGCGGGCTAGCAAATCAACCATGCAGCAGTAGTGCTGTCTCGTGGGTGTGATTCCATAATCTTCCACCATAGATGCGAACAAACTTCTCCCTCGATAGACTTCACCTTCGTGGCTACACGCGATTAGCAGCGACACGAAACAAGCCTCGTCGGGCAAATCCACCATCTTCATATGGTAAAAAACTTGGAATGCCTCGAGTATGTCACCGGCGAGAGCAAACTTGGCTATCATCACGCCCCATGCAACTACACTTCGCTCGGGCATATCCTGAAAGAACTGCTCCAAACGAGATATCGAACTCATCTGAGCATATGCCACAAGCATTGCATTCCAAACACACAAGCTATTCTCCGGAACTTCCATGAACAGCGAGAATGCGTCTTTCAAATGCCTGTTTTGGGCACACGCAGTGATCATCATCGCCCAGCAGATTGAACTCCTTTCAGGCATTTGAGTGAAAGTATTCTTAGCTTCATCGAGACAGCCACGGCGTACGTAAGCAGATAACAAGGCAATCCACACCACTATATCTTTTTGCAAATGTAGCTCATCAAAGCTTTGTTTCACTATCTCCAGATCTCCAACCATGGCATACGCAGAGAACCAAGCAGTCCAAGCTACCACATCAAGTTGTGGCATCCTATCCAAAACTTGCTTGGCCTTGTCCAACTTTTCAACACGAATGTAGCCGTCCACCATCGTCGTCCATGAAATGGTGTCGAGAAAAGGCATAGAAGTAAACACATGTTCTGCGAGATCCATTTGCCTAGAACGGGTATATGCTAAAAGCAAGCTGTTCCAAGATGTAAGCTCGGCCTCCGGCATCATGTCAAACACAAACTTTGCTTCCTTAAAGTTTTCGTCTTGGCAATAGACATTAATCATAATGTTCCAGGTCGCCAAATCGCGCTCGGGCATGCGAGAAAACAACTCCTTGGCTTCGTCAAATTGGGAGTTTGCTACCAGTAATGCAATCAAAGCATTCCAACTAATTAGATCATGTTCCGGCATCCTATTGTAAATGGCTTTAGCTTTTTTGATCTCACCACAGTTTCCAAAGCCAGACAACAAAGCATTCCAGCTTACCAAATTCCTCTCCGGCATTGCATCAAAGAGGGACTGGGCTATATCTATTTGGCCATTACGGGCATAAGCGCAAACCAAAGCAGACCATGAGGCCAAACTTCTCGCTGGGCTTTTATCAAATAAGATCTTAGCCTCTGCTGAGTTTGATTGTTTGGCATATGCACCAATGAGTGTGTTCCAGGAGATGAGATCCCTGTAAGGCATCTCATCAAAGATGGTTTTTGCATCGTAAAAATACCCTCTTGTGGCATAAGCCGAGAGAAGAGTGTTCCAAGAAACGAGATCAACCTCAGGCAAGCTATCAAAAAAGGACTTTACAACACCAAAGTGGCCATGTCTTCCAAACGCTGATAAAATAATGTTCTGGCAAACAACGTTTCGTTGCGGCATGGAATCAAAGAGCTCTTTTGCCTGAACAAAATGCCCGTTTTGACAATATGCTCGTAAAATGCACGACCACGAGAAGGCATCCTTTGCAACAATGCTGTCAAACACTGCTCGCGCGTGTTCCAAATCCCCAGTTTTGCCATAGCTCTCGATTCGCTTGTTACAAACATATACCTCGTCAAAACCCACAAGCAAAACGAAGAGCCGCATCTTCTCAAACTTGTTGTCGATTAAGCTTTGCCAAATTCACAAGATGGAATTTTGCTGCTCCAGAACTCGCATGCGCACTTTGACAAGCTCTTCACCACCTCGATCTCGATCGCTGTGAATCACCAGAGACCCAAGCATGGCCGACCAAGCGATTGGAGATGGCTCGAAAGGCATCGACCAGAGGAGATCTTTGGCTTCCTCATGGTGCCCAGCGCGACCGAGGATGTCCACCATGCAGCAGTAGTGCTCGCAGCGAGGAATCACCAAATAATCTCCAGCCATCCCCACAAACTCTTGGCGGCACCTCTCGAGCTTCCCAGTGTGGCTGCAAGCGATGAGAAGACTGAGAAGAGTAACCTTCGATGCCTCAAATCCTTCCAAAACCATGACGTGAAACATCTCGATCGCGTCCCTGCCGCGTCCAAAGTGAGCGTGCGCTGATACCATGCAGCTCCACGAAACGTGGTCCTGTTCTAGCATCCAGGAATGCATCTTTGCGGCTTCTTTGAGATGCCCGTTTTGGGCATACGCCTGCAGAATGGTGGTGCAGGAAACCAGGCTTTGCTCGGGCATCGCGTCAAAGAGCTCCCTGGCTTCGCGTATATGCCCGTTTTGGGCATATGCTACAAGAACGCTGTTCCAGGTGATCAAACTCGCAATGGGCATTTCATCAAAGAGGTTTTTGGCTTCTGATAGATACCCTTGCTGGCCATATGCTGAAATCAACGCGTTAAAGCAGATCAAGTCTTTCACTGGAACTCTGTCAAACAAAACCTTAGCATTCTCCAGATGCCCCGCTTGGGCATATCCTTGAAGCAAAATCGTCCATGACACTTGGTTGTGCTCGGGCATTTCAAGAAACGTTTCGTGGGCCTCCTCCAAACACCCGCATTCCGTGTAAGCTCTTAACAGAGCGTTCCAAGTGACAAGAGTTCTATCCGGCATCGCCCAAAACGTCGCCTCCGCTGAATCAAGATGCCCATTCTGGGCATAAGCGCAGAGAAGAATCGTCCACGAGTAAACGTTTGGTTCCTCGATGGTGGCGAAGGCGGCCTCGGCACTCCTCACACTCCCGAGCTTCCCAAACATCTCCACCAGCAGATTCGCGAGAAACCGGCAGCCACCATAGCCGGAGCTCCGTATGTCATGCTGTGCCCTCCTCAAGCTCCACATATCCCTGCAATCTCGGATGGCAGAAGCCAACAGCTCTCTTGAAAGCTCCCAGCCTGGGATGGTGATCGCCATATTTAATTATTTGTAAGTCATATCTAAGCAAGTAAAAAAACTAAGTATAATTGTGAAATATTCCTCGATTTGTCTTTTAATTTTAATAAATAAGTTTTAATATTAGAATATGGTTAACCTTTTTTAAGAAAACAATACCAAATCTTAAAATCAAATCAAATCCAAACAAATAAAGAAGAGTAACTTTTGAGAATTATAATAGCTAAAGAATACTAAAGAATTTTCTTTTTTCCAGCTGGGATGAAAACTGTTGGGTTTAGAGAAGCAAAGACGGTAAAGATATCATGATAATTTATTAGACTTTCTCTGCTATGAGTTTTTTTTGCTAATAAAGGTAAATCCTGGACAATGACAGAGGATAATGAGAATAAATACCTGAAATTCGAAAATAAAAAAGAAAAATTGAGCATAACTCACATATTGGGATTTCTTCAAAGAGATTTTTGGCTTTTGATATATATCCTTGCTGGCTGTATGCAGAATGAATGCGTTAAAGCAGATCAAGTCCTTTTACAAAATCTTTGTCAAACAAAAATTTAGTTCTGTTTTCCAGATGCCCCGCTTGGGCATATGCTTGAAGCAAAATCGTCCATGACACTTGGCTGTGCCCTGGCATTTCTAGAAACGTTTCGTGGGCCGTTTCCAAACACCCACACGCCGTGTAAGCTCTTCACAATGCGTCCAAGTGACAAGAGTTCTATCCGGCATCACCCAAAAGGTGGCCTCCCCAGCATCAAGATGCCGATTCTGGGCATGAGCGTCTCCACCAGCAGATTCGCGAGAAACCGGCAGCCGCCATAGCCGGAGCTCCGTATGTCACGCTGCGCCCGCCTCAAGCTCGGCAAATCCCTGGAATCTCGGACGGCAGACGCCAGTATCTCTCTTGAAAGCCCCCAGCCTGGGATGGTACCACACCTGATCGCCATTATTTATTAGGACCATGAAGCACTGCTTTTGCCTGTGATTGAAAACCACCACTGCCGCATAGATCATCAAAGTCGTCACTGTCGCTCCAGGAATTCTTTTCTTTCTTTTCGTGGGCAGCAGGAGCAGCCAGCAGCAGCAGCATTAACTTCGGGAGCTGGGACAGCGCTACGACGCGATGATGCGATCGCCAAAAAAACTCTAAACTCTCAGTGTGATCTCGTGATCTAGTGTCGTCACTTTCAAAACCCAGTAAGCAGCAGACACAAGCAACCAAAAACCATCGTCTCATTGATGAGAGCTGCTGAGCCCTCTCTCCCGTATTTCCATTCTTTTTCTTTTGGCTTCTCGCTCCTATACTCCTCCATCTCCATCTCCATCTCCATCTCCTGCAAGCTCTTAGCTCGCAAAAGAAAAGCGAAAGAAATTGGTGGCACACTGATGTGTGCTGCTGCTGCCAAAGACTACTGCGCAATGCGCGTCGTCGCATTGAATGCTCGCAGTAGCCTTCGCATTGAATGCGCCACCTTTTCCCTTTCATGCTGGCTTGGCATCAAAATCACAGCCAGGAAGCCAAGAAGGACCCGCCATAGCCATAGCCAAGCTACTTCCAGCACACACACACAAAGGAGAGAGAAAGAGAGAGCATATGTGTGTGTGAGGAAACCATCGGTGGTACACAACAGAAAAGGAGGATACTGGCAAATGCTGGTGTCAATTTGCCGCTGTGGGGCATCTGGTGGGCCGGCTTTTCAATTCAACAACACAAATCCTTGATCCGTGGGTGTGCGGGACGAGCGCATCAGCGGAATTGCGTGAGCTTTTCCTTTCACAGCGGACCAATTGATGTGTATAGATGCGCGCAGTAAAATCTCCAGGAGCTACCCCGGGGCTTTGGAAATGAATGCGTGTGCACTTCTTCCGTTCTGTTTTGCGTTTTCCTGAAAGATCCGGGTGACTTATCATTGAACTTCAATATCCAAGAAAAAAATCCAAATAATGTTTTTAATATTATAAATAGCAACTGAATATTTATTTGTGCTTAATTTAAACTAATAATTATAATTCATATGTCATCGTCTGGGTGTTGGTTGCCCAACTCATCAACACGTAAGATTATTGCGACACTACAGCAATAGGTTTCTCTTTCATGCGTTGTCGCCACCTTTGTCTATGCTGAAAGATTTCAGCATCAACGATCTCCATAGATCCACAGATATGTTTGCGTGATCCCACATTGCGTAGCAGCATTCATCACACCCATCATATCTTTTGTATGTGAACAAGAGCATTGATCGAGCGATGTTATAGATCTCGTTAAAACATTAATGTGAAGATATCTTCTATAAATTCCAGCCTTCTCTACACTGTCTGGGTCGTGAAAGAGACCAAGAAAGAGCCTCGGTGGCTGTGAGAAATCGAGCATAATCACATATACCACGACACGCCTTGCCTTGTCCCGAGCTTTTGGACGCTACAACTTAAATGGGTGATCCTCTCTCCCGCGAAGAAAAACTCCATAAAGACTTGCTCCCCTCGATCGATCCATAGAGATGGGACCAACAAAGTTTTCTCCTTTCAGAGCTTACGTGTGAGAAAAGGGTCGCATTCGGCATTCACTGCGCGCATTGAATCGAATCCATGCAACGAAGAAAAGATCGTCAAGAACTAGTCTCACTCGCTTTCTCCTATTCTCACGAGAACTTTGGACACGGAGTCAAGAACACAATGTTTCTTAGATTTTAGATCAATCGAAAGCAAACAACTGATACATGGAAATCTGGAGTGGAAGTGAAGTCAATGCCCGAACCATTTGCCTTGCACCGTGGTGAAGCGAGACTCGTCGTGCACAGAGTTTGTGCCAGTGTGAGCGAAATCACCAGTGTTGTTCCACCGCCAGTGATCTACACTCACACTGGAGTGCATCTATGAATCCAGACTTTACCACGCTGCAAGGGAGCTTTCGATGGTGCGTTCTTGACTCCCTCCCATATACTCCATATCTCACCTTTTTCTTATATGTTAGAAAGAGAGCCTCTAAAAGTTTGCTTTTCCTCCTCCACGAGTTCCCAGCCTTCCCGGTGCTTATTCTTCTCCAGTTTTCTTTGCTTTCCCTGCTATGTTGGCACGGAAGTCCCAAGAGCAAATCCTTCCTGAGGGAAAAAATCACCACCCTGCTCAATGCGAGCTCACTGCCTTGTGTTGTGGTGTTTGTAGTCGAGAAAGAACAAAAGAATCATTGCCTTCTTCACTAGCCAGTGTTGTCAAAAGAGTGGTGATTTTCCCTCAAGCGAGTCCCAAACTTCTGTCCAGTGTATAACCAAAACCGAGCTTGCCAAAAAGGAGAGAGATCAAGGAAAAAAGCTCCCCGAGAACCTTGTTTGACCACTCCTCGGCTTGCTCAAGCCCCAACTTGCATGCAACATATCGCCCCTGTCTCGATCCATCTTTCAAAACCAGACCTTGGAGCCCCTGGAAAGCTGGCGGAGGAAGATCGTACCGAAAGAGAGAAAGAACTGAGAAGTCATCCCCTACGAAAAGAACGAGAAGTTCCACCACCTGTCCTGTGATCCTGTCCCCCAAAAAACCATCCATCATCCATCCATCCCACCCAACTTTCCTGATCACTTCCCAGCTTTCCATCACTGATTGTCACACTGGAGCGCGGCCTTGATCTTCTGGACAGTGCACGAGATGAGATTGTTCACGGTTGTCACGGACTCGAGCGAGAGCTTTGCGGAAGGAACATTGCTGACGAGAATCTGGAATGCCACTGTCAAGAGCGAGCCTGGAACCCTGGGCCTGTCCACCTCTAGACTATCGTGCTGGAGACTTCCACAGTGGTCCTGTCCGTCGGGGAGGATCGCAAAGCCGGAGGGGAGCAAAGCAACGTAGGCCGGGTCGCCACCCTGCATTACCAAGTTCATGGCTGGGATGTCCACCGGAGCGTAAACTACGAGCGAGCCCGAGTCGTCGGTGCAGCTCTCCTGGAGGATGAGCATATTGCTGTGCGTCGAGTTGAGAGTCTGGAAAGAGAGACAGGAATAAGTTTCAGTTCTAGAGATCGAAGATCGAAAGCTCCAAGAAAGCTTACGTTGACACGGAGGAGAGAGACACTGTTGCCTGGATCCTGTCCTTTGGCGATGTGAGCCATCTCTTGCACCATTCCACCGTTGGAGAGAATGTCCCACTGAAAAAAACCAAGAAAACCGATACAAAAACTCGATTTTGATGGATCAAACGAAGCTCTGTTACCTCGTTGCGTAGCCTCTCGTCTCGCAAGAACTCAAACACGCGCTTCGGAGGCACTGGAAGCCATAGAGAGGTGGCGGCGCTGAGAACAATCCCGTGCGGTTCGCCGGGATTGTCGACGCTCTTGCGAGTCATGACACGGACATCGTCCTCGCCGCTACCGGACAGCGTCGTCCAAGTGTGCACAGTGGACGCACTCACGCCCGCGCAGAAGTTATTCGTCATGCGCTGCGCCAACTTGAGCATGCTCCGGCGGCCACTCGCATTGGGTATCACTGGCAGCAAAGCAAAACAAACCATTAAACAAAGCCGAGGAAGAAAAACAATGCCCGTGAACAAACAAAGAGGAGGGGGAAGAACCAGCTGAGAAAAAAAGCATTTTTTTGTTCCCTCCTCTCTCTAAGTTCTTCGAAAGAAAAGATGGAAGAGGAAAGAAAGTACTACCTCCAAGATCTCTGGCAGAGATGCTGGTGGCCAATAGACTGGCGAGCCTCTCGCACTGGCGCTGCAGCGTGAGCAGCCATCTCTGTGCTCCAAAAGCGAGACCACTGTTGACATAAGGCTTGTAAATCCTGTTGACGGATCGATCATCGTATTCCACATGCTCCAACACCGTCACCTAAAAGTTTTCGCAGCACACAAGAATCCAACGCACAAGTCAATGGATTGTCACATCACACACCAGAGCCTCGGACTCCCATGGAGACGACGAGAAAGCAGCGGAAGAACGAGTAAAAAAGTGATTTTGTGCGTACCTTTGAGTAGCCATTGGGCATGTCCTGGATGAGATATCCCGAGGGGCGTCTCCGGCACCGATTGGAAGAGGGCGCTGCCTCGCGAGCGAGCGCATCTACGGAAACGTCCACGATTCCCCAGACTCCATCCGCGTGCTGCTTGCAGTACCTCACGAAGTAAAACTCGCGAGTTGGAACCAGAGGCGACAAGACTTGCATCTCGGCATACATCTGCGAAGGAAGATCAAATACAAAAACAAGGTTTAGAAGCATCGAAAGCAATCACGCAAAGTTCTTCCAGATAGAGAACAAAAACAAAGAAGCTTTTTTTCTGGTTTGGATGAGCACGTACCAACTGAACGGCGCCATTCCGGTTTCCTGTAACTCCGGTTGCCAGAACATCAATGGTGACTGCTCGAGACACAATGCTGGGGAAGATCTCCGCCCATTTCGCCTGAGACAATGCCACCTTACGATCATCATCCGCAAGAACAACGAAGAAAAACAACAAAGAACTTACCGAATCCATGAGAAGCTCCACCAAGTTGACGCCGTTCATCATCACCAGATCACTCTCGCGGGTGGCTTCCGTACGCATGCCATAGGGGCGAGGTCCCAGCGCGGATTGGTACTGCCGGATGTACTCGTCATAGTTGAGAACTTCCTTTGGTCCGTCGGGGCTGGGAATCCACGATGGCTCCTCGGGCTGGCAGAGGCGATAGAGTTCTTCCATGGCGGTCACCGCGAGATCCACGATCATGGGCTTGTCCGCCTCGCTCAAACCTCCGGGCCTCATGGATTCCGAGCCCGCGGAGACGAGCGATCCAGCGGCGGCGGCGCCACCCTGATGAAAGTTGGCGGCGCCACCCACGGCGAGATCCAGGGAGGAGCTCGGCGCTTGCGAGCCGCCGCCGGAGAGGTGTGGGATTGGCCGGCCCAGGTACTTGGCTGCCAGTGTCGAGACGCGATCGAGCTGCAAAGTTTGGATTTTTTTTTTCATCCAGTGAGTGAGCGAGCGAGAAGGAAGCTCAACTTGCAGGATGTTTGTGGGCTTACCTCGTCTTTGAGCCGCGCATTCTCGATTCGCAATTGCTGCTCGTCGTAGGACATCTCACCGAGCGTGGCCGGGCCCCCGCAACTCGGACACGACGCGTTCTTGATGGCCTCGCGCATCGTCACATTCTCGGCTCGCAACTTCTCTATCTCGAGACGTAGCATGGAGTTCTCGGCCCTCTCCTGCTGGGCCTGGGCGACGGAACAAGGCAAAGAAACGATAAGAAAACCAGCAAGAACTCTCCCCCTACCTTGAGCTGGGTCCTTCGATTCTGGAACCAAAACTTGACTTGCCGCGGCTCCAATCCGAGCTCCCGGCTGAGCTCCTGCCGCTGCTTGTCATCCGGATGCGGGCACTCCTTGAACAAGCTGCGCGAGAAAACGAAGAAAAAATCCACCTTGAGGACTTCCAATCGAGAACAACACCAAAACCAATCTCTTACGCTTCCATCTCTTGAATCTGGTGTGGAGTATGTCGGTGGTAGCGCTTCTTCCTCGGCGGCTCATTGTCCTGATCCTCCCCTCCAGACCCATCCATGTTATCACTCCCAGACCGGCTCTCATACTCCTCGTCCTTGTTCTTGCTACTCAGCTTCATGGGCGCTCCAATCCCCGATTGATTCTGCGCGTCGCCATCGCCGGCTCCAGCCCCACCTTGCTGCCTCCCATCGACAATGCTCGGCTGTGGCAGAAAAATCACCCTTTGGTATCAGCCGAAGAGTCGCAAGAGAGAGAGAGAGAAGAAAATCTAGAGGAGAGATTTAAGGAGTATGAATTCGAGGAGAGGAAGGAGAAAAGAGTAAAGAGAGGGAGCGCGAGAGAATCCATAAGAAGATCTTTACTTACCAGGCCAAGAGTGAGGCCGGGGCTGGAGCTATAGATGTTTGCTCCTCCTCCTCCATTTCCTCTTCGCGGCATGGAGGGCGAGGGAGGGATGAGCCTGGGAGCCGCCATTGCTCCAGCCGGCATGTTTGGAATGTCGCCCAGCAATCCTCCTCCAGCGCCGCCCGCCACAACACTGTCGTTGGCCAAGAGCGCCACAGTCGGGCCTCCAAGCCTCATGCTCTATACAAACGCTCGCTACTACTTCTACTTCTCTCCTCTAGATCGCTCCACTTCTTTTTCTTTCTAGCGTTTGTTCGTCTTCTTCGTTGTTTGAGAGCAAAGGGACTCGAGAGAGTGAGAGAGGCAAACGAGGTCGTGAATTTGCCTCCAACAATCTCTCAGAGATCCAGAGAGAGAGAGAGAGAAGGAAGGTAAAATATCATCTTCATCTTGGTGGCGTAGATCCACGCTGTTGTCTTGTTGTTCCAGCTCCAGCAAGAAGCTAGATCGACTTGGGTGATTTGGATTACACAACCTTCTCTCTCTGTCTCTCCCTCTCAATCTGCGATTGCCTGTTAGGAGCTCAGCAGCGGCGAGCGGTGGTGGCCTTGTTCAATCCTCCTGAAAGAGAGCGAGCTTGGTTTTTCCTGCTAGAACACTGCAGGGACGATCGACAAACCTAAAGATCGAAGGGAGGAGAGCAGTAGATGTAGTTCAGGAGCGAGTAGTAGTGCAGCAGCGAGGGGAAGTATGAATGAATGAACACCACAGCATTAAATTGGTGTGTGTGTCACCCGGTGAGCATCTTGAAAGAAACAAAAGGCCATAGCTCGTATGCATGGGCATGGCATCCATGTGGATGGATAAACAATATATATTTCAATATAAATGAAATTCCTGGTAAGTTTTAATGGTCAAAATAGTTTTCGAATTGTTTATATTATTTTTGAAGCTTGAGATATTTTTAAAATATTAGAAAAATTTTGATAACATTTTGGTATTTGACTTTTCAGAACTATGGATATTTTACATTGTTGACAATATTTGTAATTTACACAGTAATAAAACAAAAACTCGGAGATGTGGCATAGACATGTACATTGTCCAGGAGACGGGCGATCGCCCAGCGACCTACGCCCAAACGCCCGACTCCCGCGTTGTATGGCGTAGGCCGGGAGCGTTTTGAGCTCTCGAGCCCCACCCATCATTAATGGCGTCCGCAGTCCTGACGGCCTCTGCGCAGTGGAGCAATTAATGGTCACATTGCCCAAATTTGGCACACTGGCCACTGCCAGAAAATCACCTCTACATTTGGCGGAGGATGGAAAGGGCCTGCGCTGCCAAATCCACCTACGCCCGCCATGCCATGTCATGTCACCATTGCCATACCCATGCTTTGAGCATGCATGAATCATATCCATACAATGCCACCCATTCATCTTACCCATGCCATGCATTCATTCAATGCGAAACATAACAGACAATGTTGAGTGAATGATAAACCTTTTCTAGTGCAATTTAATGGCCAATGGACCGTATATCTATATGGTGATTGCGTGCTCATAAATCACCCCTACCTATATCTGGGGGTGGCGAAAGAAAGAAGCGATCGCGATCGCTCAGGCCCATGCATCATCCATGATCTCCATCCCATTCCAACCCTTTGATCACCATTCAATTCCACCGTGCTTGTCTCTGTACCATGATTAGATCATTCAAGATCGATGTTTGCGCGAAAGAAATCTCGCTAAAAACTGCTCCGGCGATCCATCGTCTCTCTTTTCCTTAACTCGCTCCAAACCAAGAGAGATCATCTGTCTTTGTCTCTCTCCCTCTCTCTCAAACCAGCAGAATTACAGCTCTAGATATCCTGGGAATTTAAGAGCTCCTTGATCCTCGCCTCTCCAGTTCCAGCTCCAGTGCTGTTGGTGTTGTTTGCTCGCATTGATTTGGGTCATATGAAAGAAAAGGTCGAGAAGAGCGCGAGAGCTCGTATATATGTTATAAATGTGTGCGAGGGAAGTGATGGATATCTCTCCCTCGATCCATCCGGAGGAGCGAAAACTACTTACAAGTATGTAACGCGAGTGGAAAAAGATCGATCGATTCGACTTACAGCCAGAAGATCGCCCAACTTTTCCTCCCCGCGGGAGAATGAAAACCATGAATGCGTTGTCACAAGATCGGTCTATTGTCTCGTGTTTGCCTCAATCAAACCTCTCCCACCTTTTTCACGAATTTAGGTACGAGAACACAGCACAGCAGCGTCGTTTTCACCCCGCGTGTTTTACCAGAAACCCGGGTGAAAGTTTTTTCGGTTTTACAGAGATTAACCAGAGGCTGATTGACTGGGATATTCCAGTCCTGCGTGCGTGGCTGGAATGTCGCCGATGAATTGAATGGTGCGTCCCAACTCCCGTGCACCGTTAAACACGGTTCACATTTACGCTTCACGCAGCGTAACTGTCGGTAAGTAGCTAGTCGCGGGGGGGTAAAAAGGAAGGATATCTTTTCACTCGGCCAAAAGATGCCAAAGAATCAATCAATTTTGTAACGTTTTCCATGTATCGATCGATCTTTGTTTGTGAATTCTAAAGCTTGATCTCGTCGTGATCTTGCCTTGAATCATAGGTGGAGTTGGAGAGATGGCATTTCTATCTATCTAGAAACATTTCAAATTTGAGAGAGAACGAGAGAGAGAGAGAGAGAGAGAGAGACAAAGAACACACAAGAGTTATGGTGCCGGGGCGTGGTCAAGCACCAAATCTACACGTATATGTTTTCATTGGAGCCGCCACCACCTTTTTGATTGATTGATTGATTGAGGATCGAGCATGGCGTCGTGAAGTTTCCTACACTTTTTGTCAATAGGTTGTGTTCTCGTTTGATTCGATGATAGACTTTGAGTGGCGACCTTAAAGTGCTTTTTTCTGGCTGGCAGCGAGACGAATCCAGAAAAATGGATGGAGTTAATTTCGGTGTTGTCTCGATGCCTTCATGGGCGACTGAGCGAAAGCATGAATTATGATTTCCCAGGGAGTGATTGGAATTGGGGATTGGAATTGACTCGAGTGGGATCTGGACGGATGTGCCGTGCAAACGTTTTTCTAGCGCTCCATCAATCAGTTTGGAGTCATTTAGATCGATGCAAGATCAAGGACGATTCACAAACTTGTTGCCAGGATTGATGATCGTCAAAAGGACAAGCTCTCTCACAGCAAGTAATGTTCTTTCTTAGTAAACCCCTCTTTTGGGAATTAGGGTTTATGAATTTAAATTTGGAATCTCCTTGATTATTCGTGACTTAGGGTTTATGGATAGAGTAGTGCGACTAGATTCTTTCGCTTTGGCGCTGCTCCGGCGGCCCAATGCCGGCATCCACGCAGTAGCATCGGCAGTAGAGCACACGGATTTGACAGGGAGGGAGCGGCGGCGGCAGAAGAACGAGCGTCGGCTGGAGCTCGCGGCATCGCGTAAGTTGCCCAAACCAGAGGAAGAAGAGAAGAAGAAGGTGGATCAAAGGAGGAAGAAGAAGAGCGATCCAAGCCTGGCGAATCTCGCCAAGATGGGAATGCAGTGGTACACGCTGCGAGTGTTCACCAACAACGAGGCCGAGTCCATGGAAGCTCTTCGCTCGACGCTCGAGGCCGAATTCCCAGATGCAAAGTTTGAGGTAAAGAAGATTTTGTTTCTCTTGTTCATGGAGTAGTGAATGAATTTCTTCTTCCTTGATGCAAGGTATGGTCTCCCATAATTCCCACCGAGAGTGTTGTTCGTGGAAAATCCAGGTTCGCTATGAAAGCTATGCTCAGGGGTCATATTTTCCTTCGCTGCGTTCTTGAGGCTCCAGTTTACAGGCATGCTATGAACGAACGCTCGGTCTTTTGCTTCGTGGGAGCGTTTCCATACAAGATGAAGTGAGTTTTCCTTTGATCGTCTATCTTCTATTTTCTCTCTTTAAGATTTTCTAGACGAGATTTCTGGCAGGGCTGGCTATGACACAAAGATGATGAAAGGTGGCTACCCGGATGCTCGTATCCCCGCGCCAGTCCCGAGCTATCAGATCGAGGCTCTTCGTGAAGAGGCTGCGACAAGAGAACGAGAGTTCAAGCTTGAACAACAGAAAAAGAAAGCCTCGGAAGATCAAGTTCTTCTGGAGGTCAAGGAGGTGGATGATCTCGAGCAGCGGCAGGGGGATTTGAGAGTTGGAGACATGGTTGCAGTGATCTCTGGTGCCTATCAAAACTTTCAAGGAACAATCCTTGAGTTCCTTCCGGCTGGAAAGGTGCAACTTCTTTCTTTTTTCTCTTGTTTAACATTTTTTATTGTGATTTATTTCTTAGGTGAAAATTGTTCTGCCCGTATTTGGGACGGATACAGAGATTGAAGTTGATATGGATGCCCTTGTAAGCTATCAAGAAACAAGGCCTTGATATTTATCTGTATCACAATTTCATTTAGAAAGGAAAAATGTTATTTATTTTAAAAACTTTTCTTACCAGTGAATTGATTCGAAACTACTATGAACTTAATATTGAGCTCAAAATATACAGATGTTTATGGTAATGAAGGTCATTTTATTTATATAAATGGCTTCTTATTTTAGGATTTTGGGTGTCATACTTTATTTATTGGAGTTCTTTTACAAAAATCAAAATGCAATAAAGATTTTAAAAATATAATGTATTAATACTATAAATATTTTTGGCTAGAATTTACATATCCAAGATAAATAATATCTAGATATATATTTTTAGAACTTATTATTTTTATTTGTAATATTATATTAATTTTTTTTCATTTCAAGAATAAATGGTTTTAATGAAAACAATAAAAATGCTTTAACTTTGACTAATGTATGTCCTAAAGTATTTAATATGAATAGCGACTTTTATTGTTACTTTCAGCTATCTCTATATAAATAGAGTTGTAGTACAAAGGAAGGTCATTTAAGATATATATTACTTTTTTTTATCAGGCATCATTTATAATAAAAATCTTAAAAAATTGGCTCTTTCCCAATTTAAGAATATTTTAAGTTAAAGTTTTTAAAAAAATATTATTAACACATATTTTATAATATTTAAAAATTTATTAAAATTGATAAAAATTAAGAAAATCCTATAAAATTAACTCTTTTCCTATTTGAAGATTTTTTTAAAATAAAAGTTTTAAAATTTTTTATTAACACTTATTTTATATTATTTAATAACTAATTAATATTGATATCATTTAATAACTTTTTTATAGCTTATTATTGATATTTATAACTTTATATTAAACTTTCTTTTATTTTATCTCCAAGGTAAACTAGGAAATTTGGTAATCATAAACTTGAAAGAGTTATTATAAAAATACAAAAGTTCCTTTAACTTTGACTAATGCATGTATTAAATTCTTTAATATGAACTATTATTACTTTCACCTTTTTATATAAATAAATGTATAACAAAGAAAATTTGAGCATGATTGGAAGAATTGGTTTAGAGATTGTCTTCACACCCAGTTGGTAAAAATTCTTATTTGTCTTGATCTTGATCCATTTTCATGCGCTGCTCATAAAGTAAAAATATCTAGAATTTTTTGCAATAGATATGTTACTTCTTTTTTTTATTAAGCATTATTTAAAATGAAAATCATTCAAATTTAGCTTTTCTTATTTAAGAATTTGTTTTAAAAATAACAATTTTTAAAAATATTTATTAACTCTTATTTATAAAATATGAACAATTATTGATAACAAATTCAAAGATTATATACTAATATTTTGCTATATAGTTATATTACTAGTTATAAAAACAACTATATATTATCTTAGTTTTTAATTAGAAAACTTTCATTAGTAGCATAATTGATTTTTGATTTATGTACATACTTTAAATAAATTTTATTATTTTTATTATATCCTAATAAAATAAAATTAATTATTATATTATTAGCATGAGTGGCTCTGCTTGCTTCTTTAACACTTTAGGCAACAATTTTATCAAGTTAAATTTAGAAAATTAAATGTGACTAAAATGAGAGTAAAATTTACTTGTAAATAAAATTTATTTTATACTAATTTTTTAGATTTTATTTATCAGTTAAATTTCTTGAATATTATGACGTATGTTATGGTATTTATAATTTTTTTAATTTATTGGCTACTTTTATATTGTTATTTATAATTTAAATTCAATTAAAAGTTAAAATTTTAAACTTTTATTTTCTTTGATTTCTTCTAATACTTCATTCAAATGTGAATTTATAAGGAATTTAAATTTTAATCCAAATTCTACTGAATAAGCTTTTTATTTTATTAATTTAGTCTTTCTTGAACCTTTTTTAGCTACTAAAAGTAATATATAATTATTTAACAATATGCATGATAATACTCCAACAGCTTACCGCTTCGGCAGGTTGTCTAAGAATGGAGGAATCACAACTCACAACAATTTGGTATTTCAATCCAATGACCACTTCTGATAGTTTTAGCCTTCCCAGATCTTCATGGCCTCCAGCGAACTCAAGCGCTAATCTCCCTGACTGTCTGGAAAAATTATAAGAAGAAGCTCTATCACCGCTTATCTGATGGTTTCTTCACTCAAAACCTTACTACCGGGTTTTAACCCGGGAGAATTTCACTTTGTTGGCTTTCTTCTCTTTCTTCTTTCTGGCCTTTTCATCCTCGCCAGCGTCCTGTGAAATCAAAGCGCCTTCGTCAAGAAAAGAAAGCAAAAAGAAGGAGCTCAAATACCTGTGGCGAGCTTTGGAAGACAAATGGGTACAAAACGAGCTGCCACAGCTTGTAGAGAGCAAACAGTGGGATCTAAACAAGACCACCATGAAAAAGAAAGAAAGAAAAGATCAAACAGAGTTCTCACCACCCAGTAGAGGTACCAAAAGTAATCGGAGAAAACGCTGGAAACCTGGACAAAGCTCGTGATGTAGATGATATCGTGAAGATAGCTGCGAGACAAAATCACGAAAGAAGAATGGAAGGATCGGTGATCCCAAATTGTAGAAAGAAAGAAGAAGAAACAAACAAGAAAAAACCTGCAAAGTCCTCCAGTGGACATGTCAAAGCCGCCATCGATGAGATCGCCGCGCTCGTCAAAGGAAGGCTGGGCCATCTTCTGGAGCTGCGAATACGAGAGCTTGTACGCGGCCGAGGAGAGCAGCAGCCGGAAGAAATGCCTCCACGACACGGACGAGCGAAGGAGCAAAATCCTCACTAGAATGTGAATGGCCTGGAAATCCCCCCAGAGAGATCAAACTCGCGCATCGATGGATCGATTAGCTTACATTTGAGACAAGGATGAGGTTGCGCAGCCACTGGATGTGCTTCTCGTTCTCCTCCTTGCGCTTCTTCGCGCCCTGGTTCGCCATTCCTTCCCCCAAAACCCTAATCGCAAGAACCCTAAAAACAGAGCATCTAGGGTTCTTCGAAGAGGATGGTCTTGACGCAGGCGATCGGTGGCGCTGGAGCTCGATCCAGGGCACTGCAATGCGCATTTCGATTGCGCGCCGCCCCCGCGGCTGGCAGTGGCGGCAAGAAGAAAGGGCGAGGAGGGCCATCGGCGCCCACAGGGCCGACGGTTCCCATGGAGCAAAGGGTCAATGTGGTGCTTGGCGCAAACATCTTCAAGGAAGGTAGCGATCCTCCCATCCATGCCGATAGCGAGTATCCCGACTGGCTGTGGACGCTGGACAAGCCACTGCCGCCGCTCAGCGATCTCAAGCGCAGGGATTTCAAGTCGCTCAAGCTCCAGGAGCTCAAGCGCCTCGTCAAGCTCGACAATCGCCAGAGGATCAAAGACTCCAACGCTCTCAAGAAGAAGAAGTAGCACAGCGATCATCCTGTAAGCTTCCCATCTCTTCTTCTCGATCCTTTCAAAACAAGGAAGAGCTTCCCATATCCTTTGGAAGAACTTTCCATCTCTTTTTTTTCTTCTCGATCGAGTCAAAACAAGGAAGAACTTCCCATCTCTTCTTTCTCTTCACGATCCTTTCAAAGAAGGAAGAACTTGGGCTTGTTCTTTCAGTGCTTCCTGGTGTGTCTTCCCAGCCAACTAGACATTTGGCCCAGAGTTACCAGATTCTTCACGATCATCCTCGCTCGAGCGATCATCTGTCTCACGTTCCTTGCTCTCTCGGCTACCAATGGCTGGACCACGGTTTGGACTGGCACTGCCGCTCGCGTTTGTGCCTGCCACATCGCTACACACATAACGAGTTGGAATGAAAGGAAGAAGAAGGGATGGTTTCTTTACCTGCGGATGCTAAGCTGCTTGCTCGTCTTAGTCCATCTTCGGCTGCTCGGACTGCTTGTGTCGATCGTCTTACACCGGCTGTTATTTCTTGCCTGAAGAGGGAGACAGAGAAAAGCTTGTTTTCGGAGATGGATATGGTGAATTTAAACTGCTTACCCGAGGTCGCTGAGTTCCATGGTGAGATCGCTAATCTCCATGCCCGACAGTCTCACGGCAGCCATAGTTCCCGGAAGCTCTTCGCGAGTCGTTTTTGCAAGTTTTTCCATGGCTTCAGCTGCTTTCTTGATTGCCTGAGTAGTGATTGAGAACAACGTGAGCAAAACAGACAAAACGAAGACTAGGTGATGATTCTCACCAGTAGCGTCGGTATGGCGGCTAAGATAATGCCGCAGAGAGCGGCCATTATCTACAAAATCCAAGGTCAGGAAAGGAAAAGAAGGAAAGAAAGAGAACTGACCACGGATGCCATGATGCCGAGAAATACCAAGTGCTGTTCAGTCATTCTCCATGATGAGGAGCTCTCTGGAAATGTTCTAGCCACATCGGTGCCAACTACTAGACCCACAGTTTTCGTCTCGGTTGTTTCCGAAAGATCTTTGCTAGTTGATAGAACCGGCCTCCTGGAATTTTGTTTCCCGGCGCAATTGAGCTTCGCCCATTTGCCTGGAGCTTCAAGAAAAAGCGGCCTGTGTGTACCTTTGGAGAAAGCGAGGCCGGAGGCTTGATGAGACGCTAACATCTTCAGGCTCAACCCTATCAAAACAAGAAAAAGATTCCTTTTTTTTCAGCAACCTTGGGACTTCACAAAACTATTCTTTCACCTGGAGTTAGAGATGACAGGATCCCAGCAAAAGGTCGAACATGGCGTTGGGTGTAAGAAGTGTGGTTCCTCCCATCAACAATTCATCGAAATCTCCCTGCAAGGCTCTCGCCTCCCGCACCTGGAAAACAATATCATTTCTTGCAACGATTCTACTCCGATGATACCTCGACGGCGTTGAAGCCCCCGATTACAAAAACAAGTAGAACTTTGTGGTCGGAAAGCTTGTGTTTTGCCTGAAAAGAGAATGTTAGAACGCTTTCAAGACTGTAAGTCATTGCTACCTGTCCAAGGCCGAACCTTCCCAGTCCACTTTTGAGAAAGCGTCCGACTGTGGAGGAGTGGTGTTTCAATCCGGGGATGTCACTGTTTGACAATACCAGCGACAGAAGCTCGTTGATTACTCCCCGATGAGTTCCAAGGAGGCGTGTCTCCCTCAGTGGATAATGCGTTCTCGCTGCAGCAACTCTGTGTAGAGCATTGAATAGTTCCTGGATCCTGTCGTTTAACTCCAGCTTCAGCTGCATCTGTGAATACTCTTGCTGATCGTTGTCTTCCCAACTCTCCCATTGATCTTCAGACCAGTCATCGGGACTGGAAATCTGATTTTGAGCCTTGGTCTTTTCCTTTTCCCAGTGCATTTCAAGTGCATTCTCCAAGCCTTTCAAGAAGTCCAGCGACGGTTCCGCTGGACCTTTGAGAATCGCATCCGTTACTGCTTCCTTTAAGCTACGTTCCTCCTCCCAAGAGAATGGACCACCTTCCTTCGTACTATATTCTCCAGCGAGCGCGTATCCCACAATGAGTATGGTCAAGGCGTCCCTCAGAGATAGCACGCTGTGATCCGAGGTACTTTGCCTGATTAGATCTCCGAGCTGAGAAGCAAGAGTTTCAATCCCATCTGCAGCACTGATACCGAGTACCCTCTCAGCACTTGCAAATGCCTCCCACTGTGTAACTCGTGCTGCCGTGGTTACTTCCGCAGCAGCCTTTCCCAGTTGAACAAGCCCCGCTTGTTTCAAACCAGCTGAACTGTTGAGCAAGGTGGTAGCCAACGAGAAAAGCTCCTTGGAGTTCGTAACCAAACGCGATTTTCCCGACACTTCATGTTCCTGCCTTAAGATATCCTGGATCCAGTTTCTGACGAGTAGAGCACCGTCCTTTGCTCTCTTCTCGAATAGTATGTCCAGTCGATTCACTCCCTGGAAGTCCCACGCTGTGCAAAGTGAACCAGCAATTTCATAAGTTGTCTCGTCACCGGTTTCAAGGACGAAGGACTTTTCTTCCTCTAATGTCGGTATTCGAACGTCCATTGATGGCCTTTTGACGGAAGCAGTGCTTTCTTGGTGTGTCTGACGGGGAAGAAACGAATAGATCTTGTCAACCAACGAATCTCCATGGCTGGCGGGTGTTATAAGATCGAGAGAACGGTCCAACAGCAGAAGGCCAGCAGTCTTTTTAGCTCGTCCGAAGCCATCACCAGAGATCTCCGTCAGCTGCTTGCCAACCAGATGTGCCAGTGGACCCAAGCTGAAGATGTCGAACTTCAGATCGAGCTGCAAAAGAAAGAAAAGTTCACAAGAGAAAACTGAAGAGAAGAGCCTTGAAGTACCTGTCCAGCGAGATCATGGAGAAAATGCGCGTGAAGTGTAGCTCCGGCAGGAGGGAGCTCATCCTCGTCCCAAGCCAAACCATTGTCGTAAGCTGGTAGTCCGGGACTTAGAAACGAAACCTCTCTTTTGGAACTGAGAGGAGCCGTGGCAAACGCTGCGGAGGAAGGAAACACGAACACTCTCGGAGTTACTGCGCAGCACAGCATCGGCAAGTGCTTCACAGTAACAGAAGGACCGCTTGAATTCTCAAGCCTCTCGTCGGGAGTGAGAGCTTTGAGAACATCTTGGAGCAGGAGGTCTTTGTACTCGGTGAAAGCATCGGTTCCCAGCGGAGTATCTCCACAGTTCGAGTGAGCATCCTGCGAGGGACGGACTTATAAGGAACACTCGAAGAAGAGAAAGATGAGAAGAACTTTACCTGTGAGATCGAAGAGAGTATAACGAAATGATGGATCTTCGCATGAGTACGAATGCAGCGCAAAACATAGCAATGGGAATCGCTCAGCAGCTGCGACGTGACGATCACAATCCTCGAGAGCTCCTCCACAACTCCATTCCACACAACTGTCTAAGATCACAGCATTTTCAGTGATCACGCATAGAATTTCACCATACCTCGTCGCAGGCCGACGCATTCTCCAGCTGACACACACCCCGCGCTCCCAGCTGCAGCAAGAATGGAAGCCCGCCTAGAAAATGGAACGCTTCCAGCGCTCCATCGTCCAGATACACCAAGGCGCCTTGCAAATTCTCGGCTTCCTGGACAAATCCATCACAACAAGATCCAAACCGCGATCGATTCTACCTCGCCAAGGCACTGCTGGCCCGCCTTCACCAGATCGATCGCCATCAAACCCCTCCAAGAATCGAAATATTTCTAGGGCTCTTGAGCATTTTAGGGTTCATGCTTTTTAACTTTGTAAAAAAATAAACATAGAACAAATGGTCACAGGAGAGAAAACTTTTTACCACGGTAACTTTCACTGGATGGTATTTACTTGACTCCACTCCCCATCCACGGCCTCCTTCCAGAGCGTCACACTGTTGGTAGCATCGGCCACTGCCAAGATATTCCCAGTGAGAGACCAGCTCGCTCGCCACACCGGCGATTTAAAATCGTGGAGGAGCTGCCCTTGCCACTGATCGCCCTCGCGCCCCTGCGTCCAAATCACCACAGTTCCATCCTGGGAAGCGCTGGCGATGGTGTTCTTGGGGAGCCCCAGATTTGGAGCCCAGGCGACGTCTCTCACCCAGTCGCTGTGCATCGAGAGCGGCGGGAAGCAATCCATCTTCCAGTGCCCATCCGCGAATTTCCACACCTTGACGGTGTTGTCACATCCCCCGGAGACGAGCTTCTGGATCAAGCCCGCGCGGCCATCGCCCAGGAGAGATCCGGGCGACGCCGAGGGAGCCCAGGACACCGAGGTGACGCCCACCGGATGGGCTTGCTGGATCTTCACCCTGTCCCAGGATCCATCCGGCTTGTTCGTGAGCACCGAGATCGTTCCATCCGAGGAGCCGCAAGCCAAGCAGAGGCCGAATTCGTGGGGCGCCCAGGCGATGCTATTCACCGACGCTTCGTGCTCCTTGAAGACGTGTGCCTGGATCCACTGGTTCTCGGCGCCCTCTTTCCAGATGATCACCTTGGCATCGTAGGAGCACGAGGCGAGGATGGATCCAAACTTTGGATGGCCCCAGCAGATCTGCCACACCGGGCCGTCGTGCCCGCTCAGCGTCGCCAGCAAGTGCTCACCTTGGGATCCCTGCGGCACGGAGAAAACCCTGACGGATCGATCCGATGAGCACGTCGCCAGGCGCTTGCCGTAGTAATCCATCTGCGCGTCGTGGACAATGTCGGTGTGGCCAGATTCGATGCTGTGGGACGACGGCAACTTGTCTCCCGAAGGGACTGGGGACGCATTCACTGCCGCCATCGCTGCCGCCATAGCCCCAACTCCCGAGCTCGAAACCCTAGCTCGAGCGTGCCACTTTGACGGAATATGCCTAAGAGCATATGCCGCTAGTGTGTTCTCTCGTCGCTACAGCCAAAATGGAAGACGAGCTGATAATCAGGGTTTGTTCTCTCGCCAGAAATTTGGCTCGTCCCGAGGGATTCTAGGTGCGTCTAGAGAGGAATGCGAGGCTGGAGAGATGTTTTCATCGATGTCGGCCCCGCATTCTCCCGCAGTAAGCAGCTTCGGTGGTTCTTGGGCAAGAAATTCCAGATGCTCGAGTCTGGAGCGTCCGGTTTTGTGGATTTCGAGGTCAAGGCCGCTCAACCGCAGTGTAAGGGCGACGCTCACGGATGATTCTTCCTCCTCGAACAACGGGTTTTGCATCATCGAGAGCCGAGACACCGTCGTCGATCTCGCGAAAATGCAGTTCGAGGAGCTCAGGGACAACGTGAAAAGCCGCCGCAACAAAATCTTCTTGCTCATGGAGGAGGTATTTCCAGAATGGCTCTTGTGTGTCATCGATCGATCGCTCCTTTTTTTCCATTCGACGTTCCTTCCAGGTTAGAAGACTGAGGATCCAGCAGCGATTGAAAGGCGCCGAGCTAGGCCTGGAAGAGGAGGACGAGGAGAACGATCTGCCAGAGTATTCATCGTTGTTTCCATTTCTTCCACCTTTGGTAAACAAACACTTTCTTATGTTTTTCTATTTCCTCTCAGCAATGGCTTGGCTATGGCAGACATACACGACGTTGAAGTTATACTATGCAACTTGCTTTGCCTTTTGCGGTGGAGTCATCCTTTTCGGTGGCCTTCTAGCTCCTGTTGTAAGCACTAAAATTCAATACTGTGTAGAGTTAAGATCTTGTTTTCCTTTCCAAAGCTGGAGCTCCGACTTGGGATTGGATTTACCACCTATACCGATTTCATTCACAAGATGCATTTACCCGAGCAGCTAAGGTTTGTGACACTGGAGGTTTGTTGCTGCTGCTTGATGTGGTCTTTGGGATTTTTATAGTCAGGTCGATCCAATCGTTGCTTCGTTTTCGGGTGGGGCTGTCGGAGTCATATCGTCTCTGATGGTGGTGGAAGCTAATAACATCCGGCAGCAGGATAAGCAGAGGTGCAAGTATTGTCATGGAACTGGTATGGCAATCAATCAGCTCATGGTTTTCATTGCTACAATGCTTTTCAATGTTTCAAGGCTATCTGTCGTGCGCTCTATGCTCAGCCGCTGGAGATGTAGCGAGTTCGAAATCCATGGAACGTAAGAGATGTCCAAACTGCTTTGGCGTGACGAAGGTAGAAGTTTCTTCCTCCTGCGTCTAGCTACGCTTTATTTTTCTTTTCTGATGTCTCCTTTCTTTTTCTGATCGTTTCTCTGTCATTTTTCTATTTTGCAGGTGATGTGTCCTACTTGTTTATGCACAGGAATGGCACTTGCTACTGAACACGACCGTCGAATCGATCCTTTCGACTGATGAGTGAGTGAGTGCGTATTCCTTTTCGTCTTAAAAAATTCCCCTAGCCATTGATCTTAGCGAAAACAGCGACTAATGCTTTTGACTTGCTCTCTGTCACCAGGTGAGGGTGGGGTTACGTGTGTCTTTCCACCCGCCACACTTGGCGATCGAGAGTATGAAAATAATCTCGAAAGCTGGGAAATGCCGACTGTATGCCTTGCTTGCTTGTTTCATTTCTTAATGTTTTGGTGCAGGAAGCGGTGGCAAGTCCAAGGATCTGACGACGAGGCAAGGAAGAAGTTCCTGTCAAGCAGAGAAGTTGCCTATTAGAAGAGAGATCTCAGGAGATGGGTGATGGAGAAAGCCGACTTAGCAGCGGGGGAGACGAGGAGAATGAGCGTGATGGGCTTGTCTCGGTTCATAGCCGGCACAGCCACGCCGAGGATATGGATGGAGGAAGCCTTTTCGCGACGCGTTGGAGGACGATGGAAGCTTTGCTCTTGCGTCCGAGCTTGTCCTGCGAGCTCGACTCTTTCAATAACCCATGCACGTACTATTGTGATTGAGGCAAAGCCTTCGATTAAACAACACATAAGCAGCTAAAAGATTCATCACTCCTTCTACCCCTTCACTGATGTTATTCCTTCCAAGAAAAACATAAGGCATTTGGCACGAAAGCCATGCTTGGGATGAAATCTTTGAGCAGCACCCAAATGCCCAGCACGGTTCAGACCATCGATCACGCGGCAATAGTCTGGATCAAGACCATCATAGAGCTAAAGCACTACTTAGATCTAACGTTTTCATCGTATCAAACATTTCCAATGCACAGTGCTCCAAGTTATCACACCACTCTGGAGTAGTTTAGACGTTGGTCGTGCTCTGGCATCAAAAAGGACTTCTACTTCCCGCATACATTCGATGACACAAATCTCTGGCTAGGAGAAGCTGTGATCTTTGCGTGTATGCTATTAGCATTGTGTTCCAGGCAATGAGGTTTCGATCTGGCATTCCATTGAAATTCCCGAGCTCTTTCGAGGTTTTCTGCCAGAATGCCTTTCCACGATTCTGGCATCCAATTCAATATTTCTGTCGCATCCTTATCAAGTCAAGCATATGCTGTTACCATGGACGTTCTGTTTGCCTCTAGCATATCATCAAAAACTTCTTCTGCCCGTGCCAAATCTCCATGCTGTGTGTATGTGGCGAGCATGGTGTTCCAGACTATCAAATCCCTCTGTGGCATTCTACTGTAGACATCTTTTGCCGCTTACAGAAAGCCATTCTAACGATGAAGTTCACCAACTCAGTTAATCATCGCATTGTAGCGACAGCTCGTACCCCATCCATCTTGCGTTCCTCCTGCAGTGTTCATAGCACACCTCGTGAATTTCATTTCTTGAAGCATCTTTCAGTGTTTTCATATGCAGACAGCAGTGCATTGCAGCAAATGATGTTGTGCATTCGCATTTGGGTAAAGATCTCCTCGCTAGCTCAGAGTTCGCATAAGAAACAGCCAGACTTGTCCACGTGATCAAGTAATGAAGTGGCGTTGCATCGAAATGAGATTTTGCCATGTCATTATGCCCTTGTTGGGCATATGACGCAAGTATCATGTTGAAGAGTGTTTACCTCCGGACAAGACGAGAGCGTTGTCTCATCAACGGCAATGATCAAAGCCTACGGAATAAAGCGAAGGAGTGGAGGGTGCTCATTGAGATGAGAGAGAGAAATGTTGTTTTGAACAGCGCAAATACCCTGTCTTGGCATTTGGTCGAAATAGCAAGATGCTTCGTTTGATTACATCATGTGAACGAGCTCGAGGTCGAGAAGGGTGTAGAAATCTTTGAAACTACCTTCCCGGAGCATCATCTCTTGGAACACTTTGCTTGCTGCATACGCGTCTTGCCAACTAGATTTTCTCCAGTGTTTGTCACATTGGCAAAGTCTTTGATCATCTCCTCAGAGCCTGGTTTTGAGTATTCCCTAGATGCCCAAGGACATGGAACCTTGTTATGCAAATTGGACGAAACCTGAGCACACATTCAACTTCATGACTTCGAACAGACTATTGCCGCATATGCGATCATTAAGACGACTGGCCAAACAGTGAGGACCAATCATGTCTCTGGTCATGTAAGTAAACAGCCTCTTTGAGCACAAGTCAACGCGATCAACTAACAGGCCCTCGACTACATGGGATTTGTAAAGGTTGACGAAAAGCCATGCGTTTCCTGCCGGTCAACGCTCTTAGCAGTCAGTCAATGGTAAGTCAAAGCTCTCGTTTACTTGAAGTAAAATGAGTATACGTAAGCTTTAAGAAGAGGAAAGTACAGACATGACCAGCTATAGAAAGCTGTCAAGCTCTTCCATGGCTAGCGATTGGCGCAAGCAGCAAAGCCGGTTGCAAAGAGTCCAGAAACTGTTCGCGTTCACAGCCATTTTTCTCGGCCAGATATAGCCCGCCTTCGCTCGCGCCAAACGAGAGCCCCTCTTCACGTCCTTCGCGTCCTTGTAATGCCCAAAACCGTAGTGATCAACCAATGCCTCAACCTGGTTCCTGGAAGACAACCAGCACCGTGAATGTTATCATATGCCCGTTCTGGGCATACTCACTGGAAACCGCAAGCATCTGAAGCTTCGCGCCAAGCTCCTTCCTCCTTTTGCCTTTTGCTTTTTCCTATGGACGGGAGATATTACCCTAAAATCTGATGGCTGAGTCCACACCGCTCTACGGGAGAGGCGATAGAGTTTCTTCTGTAGTCTTCCGTGGGCGCAGGCTAGAAATCGCTGGAAAATGGTGTCTCCCTTCCCACTATGATCTGCAAGAGGATGCGGTTCTGGAGCTTGTCACCACTCGAAAACCGTCCAAAAAGGTACAAGATTCTATTTCGAAGAGCCTCGATGAATCTGGGGTCTGTTGCTCGTTTGACGGGAAGAGCCTCTTCGTTTTCTTCCCGACGTCTCTCGCATACGCGACGCTAGCCGATGCAAAAGAACAGGTCCGGTGCTATGCCATGAAGAAAGGGAACGTGTTCGAGTTTCTCTTGCTGCCCAGCCCGCTTTGGAAGTCGAAAGAGGGCAAGTTCTTCATGCCTCAACAAGCTCTCTTCCGGACGTGTGAGCCCTACTGTCCATCCGAGGGGATCCTAGCGTTCGAGATTGGGGAGAGGCACGAAGAGCCAGCGTGGCGCCAACTTTTGGAATCCGGGGCATTTTCTGGAGTCTTGGCCTTGATGCCGGGATGCCTGGACGTGGTTCTTATCACTCGCCAAGGGACTCAACGATTCCATGACCCCGACTTTGTAGACTTGGGCGAGCTGTTGAGTGGCTTTCGGCTCTATCTCACGGCTCTTCCAAGGGTACTCTGGCCAACACTCCGGGAAGTAAGTGTCGCCATCTTTGGCGATGCGAAAACAAGTTTATCTCACTTGTTTGTGCAGGATCGGAGGGGCTACATGACAACCAACAAGAAGCTGGCGGATATCCTTTGCAAACGGATACGCGAAGGGAATGTAGAGGAGGCGAAAGCGGTGGTGTGTTTTATGTCTTGTTTAGATACGTTTAGCTCCTTTGAGGTGCTCCCTCTGGTGAGTCTTTCTCCGTATATGCATGGTTCATGTCCGGTGTTTAAACTGGCATGCACAGGTTCTAGCTGTGTCCAAGAACATGGAAGAGCTCGTGGAGTTTATGTGTCAATTTGAGGTCGACGTGGATCAAGTTGACTGGTTTGGACGAAGCAGCGTTGTCTTCTTGACTAAATTGTCCTGCCTTGCAGGTTTGGTCAAACTGCACGAGCTCGTGCTACGGGAAAGATTCGAAAGTTTATCGACGAGAAATACCCGGATGCCCCGGATGCTCCTGGTTTGGTCTTTTGTTCTTCCTATAGGTTACACATATGTAATTATTGATTCTTGTAGAAGGTTTGACAGTGAGCGCCCCTGAACCATCAACGGTGAAAGTTTCTGGTCTCACTTCCGAAAATCTCCGGAAACTGATAAAGATGGTCTCCGGAAGAAAGATTGCCGCCTACTATCTCCCTGATGCAGTTGGAGAAACCAATACAATGTGTTTGCAGGTAAGTAGCTTTTGTAGATGCTCTCTTTTGTTCACGCCTTTCTTTTGTCTGAATAACGCAGCAATTGTTTCCTGATGCGAGCGATCCTGATTCATTACTTCGAGAGGTCAAAGCCACGCTAATGGTAGGAGGAGACTAATGGTGTTGGCGCGATGGCAGTGCTTGGCGGGTTTTGAGGAACATGACCACCTCTCTCGTTGTAGAGTTTCCATCAAGGAAAATCCACCCAACATTGCAATTACGCCCGTCAAATGTCGAGGCGCAGGATTTATCCACACCCATGCTATCAAACAAGGCCTCTGTTTTGTTACATCAGTGTTCCACCCAGCATAGGGCGATGGATTCCAGCTCTCTTAGATTCATGGCGGAGCGATCTTCCTCGCCAACAATGTATGGCCACCATGGCAGCCTTGCTGACGCCCACACTGTCTTTGACCCCCAGGACCATAGCTCTTCCGAGCATGCTTAGCAGAGATCTTGTGGCCCTATGATATATGCCATAGCTGAGCATGGCAGCTTGGATGAAATATTTTAACAAGTGCCATAATGGAATTTGTCTTCGTGAAACTCATTAATTGCAATATTTGTTAACATAAGGCATCTTTATTTTACTGTGCAACTATGTGTCATGAGCGACCATGGTAGTTACAATCGCTTCCATGTCATGCCACATTCCTCCTGCCATGGCCGTCTTTCTCTGGCGAAGAGGCTCATGGATTCCACGCCTGAACTGGAACAATCCCTCTTGAAGATATCTCCGCCGTAGACGCAGCATTCGCAGAGATTACCCAATGCGATGAGACGATCCTGCTCGAAACGCATCGCAAAGATCTGGGCAAGGTGGAGCGCGCATGCCGAGCTGCAATCCCGTGTCCTCGACGCTCATGATCTCGGCCTAGGCGGAGCACGGGCCCAATGATCCGGGCATTTGCGGAGAGCTTAGCGCGTGTTTGATATGATGCCCACGCGAGACATTGTCTCGTGGAACTCCCATATCAAATATCTTTTATGGTTTAAGGACTTTGACGGAATATGCCTTATATGTTCTCTTGTACTGTGGGCTCGCGAGAAATTTGGCTCGTCTAGCGAATATCAGGGTGATGCTCGCGCTCAGGGATGCGATAACGTTCACTTGTTCCGGCAGGTTGCGCGACGTGTTCCGGTTGAGGCATTGGTGGATCACTACGGTTTCGGGCTTTACAAGGACACGTGAAGGACGTCAAGAGCGGCTCTCGTCTGGCACGAGCGTATCCAGAGAAGTCGGGGCCGTAAGTTAAGGACCTGGCCGAGACAAATGGCTGTAGTTTCTGGATTCTTTGCAACCGGCTTTGCTGCTTGCGCCAATCGCTAGCCATGGAAGAGCTTGACAGCTTTAAGCGCATCACGCTCATTCACCTCGTCTCCCCCGCTGCTAAGTCTGCTTTCTCCTCCATCTCCTGAGATCTCTCTTCTGATAGGCAACTTCTCTGCTCGACAGGAACTTCTCCCTTGCCTCGACGTCAGATCCCTGGACTTGCCAGCGCTTCCTGCACCAAAACATTAAACTTTACCAAAAGCATACAGTCCGCATTTCCCAGCTTTCGAGATTATTTAATTTCGAGATACGTAATTATTGATTCTTGCAGCAGAAGGTTTGACAGTGAGCGCCCCTGAACCATCAACGGTGAAAGTCTCTGGCCTCACTCCCGAAAACCTCCGGCAACTGGTACAGATGGTCTCCGGAAGAAAGATTGCCGCCTACTATCTCCCTGATCCAGTTGGAGAAACCAATACAACGTGTTTGCAGGTAAGTAGCTTTTGTAGATGCTCTCTTTTGTTCACGCCTTTCTTTTGTCTGAATAATGCAGCAATTGTGTCCTGATGCGAGCGATCCTGATTCATTACTTCGAGAGGTCAAAGCCACGCTAATGTTAGGGTTAGGAGGAGACTAGATGGCGGCAGTGCCAAGCAATGATATACGCCATGGACGAAGATTCCTCTTCGTACCATCACTTGGACGGTCCTGATCTGCGCCTCATAATCGCGGATTTTCCAAAAAGGTCAAACTTGTAAATACCCTTCAGAAATATAACTATTTCTGCCTTTAAGTCAAGTACTTTTTTTAGTTTAAGGACTTTGACGGAATATGCCTACGACTTGGCGAAGAGAGGATATTACGTTCTCTTGTCGCTAGAGCACTGATAATCAGGGTTTGTAGGGCTCGCGAGAAATTCCAGGTGCGTCTAGCGAGGAATGCGAGGTTGGTTGGAGAGATGTTCTCGTCGATGTCGGCCCCGCATTCTCCCGTAGTAAGCAGCTTTGGTGGTTCTTGGGCAAGAAATTCCAGATGCTTGAGTCCGGCTTTGTGGATTTCGAGGTCAAGACCGCTCAAGCGCAGTGTAAGGACGACGCTCACGGATGATTCCTCCTCCTCGAACAACGGGTTTTGCATCATCGAGAGCCGAGACACCGTCGTCGATCTCGCGAAAATGCAGTTCGAGGAGTGAGAAGTCTTCTTGCGCATGGAGGAGGTATTTGAATTTGTGCTCTTGTGTGTCATCGGTCGATCGCTCTTCTTTCCAGGTTAGAAGACTGAGGATCCAGCAGCGATTGAAAGGCGCCGAGCTAGGCCTGGAAGAGGAGGACGAGGAGAACGATCTACCAGAGTATTCACCATTGTTTCCATTTCTTCCACCTTTGGTAAACAAACACTTTCTTATGTTTTTCTATTTCCTCTCAACAATCGCTTGGCTATGGCAGACATACACGACGTTGAAGACCTACTATGCAACTTGCTTTGCCTTGTACGGTGGAGTCGTCCTTTTCGGTGGCCTTCTAGCTCCTGTTGTAAGCACTTCAAATCTAGACTGTGTATATATGATCTCCTTACATTTTTGTTATCCTTTCCAAAGCTGGAGCTCAGACTTGGGATTGGATTTACCACCTATACCGATTTATACATTTACCCGAGCAGCTAAGGTTTGTGACATAGGGAGTTTGTTGCTGTTGCTTGATGTGGTCTTTGGGATTTTTATAGTCAGGTCGATCCAAGCGTTGCATCATTTTCGGGTGGGTCAGTCGGAGTGATATCGTCTCTGATGGTGGTGGAAGCTAGTAAGATCCGGCAGCAGGATAAGCAGAGGTGCAAGTATTGTCATGGAACTGGTATGGCAATCAATGAAGACGTCATTCATTTTCATAGTTTTTATTGCTACTTTGCTTTACAATGTTTCATGGCTAGGCCGGAATCCATGGAACGTAAGAGATGTCCAAACTGCTTTGGCGTGACGAAGGTAGAAGTTTCTTCCTTCTCCGTCTAGCTACACTTTATTTTCTTACTTCCGATGTCTCCTTTCTTTTTCTGATGTTTTCTCCGTCCACTTTTGATCCTTTTTCATTTTTCTATCTTGCAGGCGATGTGTCCTACTTGTTTGTGCACAGTAATGGCACTGGCTACTGAACATGACCGTCGAATCGATCCTTTCGACTGATGAGTGAGTGAGTGCGTATTCCTTTTCGTCTTTGCACCGCCAAAAGAATTCCCCTAGCTATTGATCTTAGCGAAACAGCGACTAATGCTTTTGACTTGCTCTCTGTCACCAGGTGAGGGTGGGGTTAGGTGTGTCTTTTCACCCACCACACTTGGCGATCGAGAGTATGAGCTACGCCACTCTCTCCTAAAATAATCTCGAGAGCTGGGAAAGATCAAGAGCTGCCGAGTGTATGCCTTGCTTGCTTGTTTCACTTTTGGCAAAAGTTTAATGTTCTGGTGCAGGGAGCGGTGGCAAGTTAGTATGTATAGAGGCGTTGCTTCAGCCTCGACATTTTTCGCCGTTTCGCAGGAGGGGCAGCAAGAGCAGCCGCAGCAGCTCCATGCCGATCTTAGCCTGCTATGGTAACGATGACAGGCGAAGAGCATGCAAATTGGGGGTATCTATGGAGCAACCAAATGCAGTGGAAGCATCAATTTGTTGCCGTGTCTCCAGGAAAGCTTCAAGTCTTCTCATCAGAGCAGCGGGATCATCTAGAGGTACAGCTTCTTAGTTCGCCGATGCCATCGATTTTTGACACCCGATTCTGCAGAGAAAGATTTTTCTGAATGGGGGTACCACTGTTAAGATTGTGGATTCCACGGAGTCCGGCAATGGCTCCCTCAATAGCAGCTCCAAGTTGCATTTTTGGCGAAGGATCAGCAGGAGGAGCTCTTGCACGAATCAGTACTTGCCTGAGCCGGAGGGTGCGATAGTTTTCATCAAGACCGTCCAAGGAAAGAAGATGTTTCTATTAGTGTCAAACCAGGCAAGTTCTTTAATCAGTGTTTTCGCCGCTTGACTTTGCTTTTTCTGATATCAGCACGAAGCCGGAGTATGGAAAACGGCGATCGAGCAACGAATTGTTCTTCCACCGAAACACAAGCGAGCACAGAGTCTTTTACGGGCTTTGTCCCTAACTTCTGCGCCATCAAAAAATAAGAGCGTCGATGAGGCAAGCCGTAAAACAAGACCGCTCGCTCTACGTTGGCAGGTCGGCAATAATCAACATCCTGCTGATGCACTGGATACTCGTGAAGACTGTACAGCATTTTTAAAATCGAGATACTCAAACACAAACGCGTTCGAAGCCGCCATGACGATGATCGAGCAATTCAATGGGTTCTACCAGATGGGAGACTGCCAGCTCCCAAACGAGGTACAGAATGAAAATTCAGAGATAAAAACGAAATCTGACAATGGCTTTTTAGCTGCGGATTGAAGCGTGGAGAGGAACGCTGCTTAGCATAGTGCGCAACCTTCGTGATCAACTCCTTACTCGGACCTCTGACTTGTCTGAAGACCATTCCGAGAGCGTAAGTTTCATGTGATCTCTAAGAGCTACTAATTTGAGTAAGCTGCGCAGCTTTGGCTAGCCTGTGAGACGTGGGTTATGGCTGCAGCGCATGACAAGATTATGGGCGCCTGCGAGCAAATGTACGCTGCTGATGACAGGAAGCTAGCTCAGAAACTATCAAAACTCAGACAGGTAAAAAATCTCCCGATTTCATGTTGACTTTGTAATTTGTTTTCGATTTTTTTTCTCCAGCTGGATCCTTCGATACTGGGAGTAAATGCAGATCTCAAGGATATCGCTTTTGGAGACGCAATACAGGTGTTTGGAATGATCAACACTTGTCGCAGTCCCCTTGAAAAGGTACGGAAAGCTTCGTGTCACAAACATTTAGAAGAATGGTTTTTATTTTCCAGGCAGTCTGCTTGAAGAAAACCATCAACTTTGTGATGGACGGAATTCAAGCTAGTTCGTCCAAAGGTATCAAAGGAAGGAAAGAAAAACTTCTATGCTTACTTCCAAGTATTTCGTTCCATGCAGAGAATCAGCTCTGTACAGACGATCTTTTGTCACTCATGCTGCTCTTGATCGCACACGCCAAGGTAGATTCTCGCGAAAATCTCCATACCAAACGAGATAAAAATCTGCTTTTTTCGCAGCTCCAGCACTTGCAAGCTACTGCGTGTTACATGGAAAACTTCTTCCAAATGCGCGACGATCAACAAACCGGTGAATTGAGGTGAGTGATTTGCTTGAATTCTCTCAAGTCTAGGATGGAATGACACGATCGTGCTGCGCTGCGTCAGGTACCACATCACAAACTTCGTGGCGGCCTGCGCATACCTGTCGTCTCCAGAGATCGAAGAGCTCGTCTCGAGCGTAGTGATCTCTCCGGCATCGTCATCCTCCTCGTCATCCTCGCCAAGCTCGTCCAATTCCTCCTCCTCCAAAGGCGGCGGAGGAAGATCCCGCAAAGAGATCGACGCTGCCTTCGCCACCGGGACGAGCGAATCCTCGCCAGAATTTATCCTCGCGCCAACTTACCTGTGATTCGATTCGTGGCGCTTGGGATCCAAAGAGAGAAGAAAGAAAGAAAAAATTCCTCTCTTTGCGCGAAAGTTCCAAAAGAATGGGAGAACTTTCTTTGATTTTACCACCACTTTAGTGGCGACACTATGACGATACTCTTTTGGCGTGATCTAGAGGCTCTAGAGTGAGTGACACGACGTTCTCTTGGAAGAATGGTAGATTCCTCGCTGGCAAAAGGCCCACGCATTTGAGATTCATCGCCAACCTCTTTTTCTCTGCGGCGCCATGGAGGAATTGGAGAGAAATTCCGCGGCGGCAGCGCTCCTGCGCCTTCGGTCGCAGCAATTCGATGACAAGGAAGCGAAGCCCAATCTGGAGCTGGGCTCATCGATTGGAGTGGAGATTGCGCGCGATGAGATTCTTCCAGTGGATCTCCTGGCGCATTGCTTGTTACAGTTATCTTCCTTCCGGGACATGGCCATGTAAGCACGGTATCTCGTTTTTTTTCCCCTTTCTTTTTAGCCCCCTTTATTTGCGGAAGAACCCTAATTTTGGGCAGGGTGAATCTCGTGTGCAAGAAATGGAGGAGCGCCATGCGGCAATCGCTGGCATATCGCAAGCGATTGAGCTTCGCGGGATGCCGTGTCGACGATGTCTCGGTCGCCAATCTTGTGAATCAAGCGCTCAATCTCTTGGATCTCGACATGTAGGCTCTGATCTCTTCTCTCTCGGGCTCTAATTCTTTCCATTCCAGGTCCGCTGGAACTTGGGGCTGCCAGATCACAGACATTGCGCTCGTTGCCATCGCGGATTCTAGCTGCTGCCCCAATCTCCGCTCGATTTCCTTGTGGGGTGTCACGGCAATCACTGATCAAGGCGTCGCGGCGCTGGTAAGCTGGAAATCCACGCTTCGCATCCAATCGATCTTCTTCCTTCCAGGTCTTTCGAGCCAAATCGCTCGAGAATCTCAATGTGGGTGGCACTTTCATCACCGACGCGTCCCTCCTCGCCATCGCCACGCATTGCCGCTCTCTCAAGGTCCGTGGAATTCATTCTACCAGATTTGTGATCTATCCATTCCATGATCCATGGATCCTCTTCTTCCTTCCAGGCGCTCAATGTGTGGGGATGCAAATTCGTGACAGAGAAAGGGCTCCTCCACCTCGCGCGAGGATGCCCAAGCCTCCAATCGCTCAACGTCTTTGGCATCAAGGTCACCAATCTCTTCTTCCACTCCCTGGCAGCACTGAATTCGCAGCTCCAGATCAAACCAGCCCCATCGTTATAAAGCCATTCTATTCTTTGCTCGATCGATCCTCTCGATCGATTGAGCTATGAGCTCCGTGCTAGAATCCTCTCTCCTCCTCCGGCAGTGTGGCGACTCGCGAGATCTAGCTCGCGGGAGGGAAATCCACCGGCAGCTCGTCCAATCCGGCGAGGATCGCCAGACATTCCTGGGCAATTTGATAATCCTCATGTATGGGAAGTGTGGAAGAACAGAGGACGCGATCCAGGCATTCCACCGGATCCGGCACTCAAACATCTACTCGTGGACGAATCTGATCAGCGCGTTCGTGCGAAGCGGTGATCTCGATCGAGCGCGGTCGGCGCTCCATTCGATGCCCGCGATCGAGATCGTGGCGTGGAACACCATCATCACCGCATATGCCCAGCAAGGGCATCCGCGAAGAGCCCTCCATCTCTTCGAGATCATGGATCTAGAAGGGATTGTGGGCGATGGAATCACGCTCTTGGGCGCGATCGAGGCGTGCGCCCAGCTCCAATCCCTCTCGCGGGGACGGCAAATCCACGCCCGGATTGTCAGCCTCGGGCTGGATAGATCAGAGCTCCCGCTCGCGAATTCGCTCATCAAGATGTATTCGCGATGCGCTAGCGTAAGGGACGCGAAGAGGGTCTTTGATGGGATGATCCACCGCGATCTTGTGTCGTGGAACACGATCATAGCAGCACTTGCCACGAATGGGCATTTTGATCTTGCGCTAGAGGCTTTTAACCGGATGAATCAAAGAGACCGAGCGTCCTGGAACACGATGATCGTGGCGTTCTCGCAACTGGGCGATCACCGGCGATCCATGGAATTTCTCGCGAGCATGGATCTGGAAGGGATCGAGCCGGACGAGATCACGTTCCTGGGCGGATTGGAAGCTTGTGCGGGGCTCACGGCAATTGCCGAAGGGAAGCTCCTCCACTCGAGCATCCAGCGCTGGGGACTAGACTCGCGACTCCAAATCTCTACATCCTTGATTACAATGTATGGCAAGTGTGGCGATCCAGAACTAGCTCGATCGATCTTTGATAATTGCAATTCCCGTGATTTAATCTTTTGGAACGCAATGCTTGCAGCATATGCCAAGAACGGGCATCTGGTGCAAGCGCTCGATCTCTTCTGGCAAATGGACCTAGAAGGAATCGCAAAGAGCGCTGCGACGCACGTCAATCTCCTCGCAGGACTCAGCCATGGAGGGACGCTCCGCGATGGGATCGAGTTCTTCCTGGCCATGAGCGCTGATCACAGCGTGGAGCCGGGATACAAGCACTACTCCTGCGTGATTGATCTCCTAGCTCGCACTGGCAAGTTGGGTGATGCCCACGACCTCCTCCTCGCCATGCCCTTCTATCCTGACGTGATCTCCTGGACGACGCTGCTGACCGCTTGCAAGCTCCACAAGGACAGTAATCGAGCTGCCGCAATAGCTAGGGAAATCGGCTCCTCCCAGAACGTAGTCGTTTCAATCGCGAATTTCTATGTCCAGGATACTTGATCTATAAAAGAGATCTTCATCAGATGATAGTAAACTTCTGCAAAATTATTGACTGAGTTGTTTGTATTCTGTTTTGAGTGGGAGTTCTATCTACTTTGTGTTCACAGCTATTAGAAACTCCTCCTTCACATTTTTACATGTGATGGAGTTTTTTAACGAAGTGCCACCCAATGGGAGGATATAGAATGTTACCTCAGGCTATCTAGAGTTATTCACTGTGTACAAATCCATGGTCATAGTTGCAAATAAATGGTTGAGATTAATTTAATAAATATTATTAAATAACCAAAACTAAATCAAAACTAAATTTACAATATTATCTATATAAAATCAGAAATGTAGCATAATTTAAACCACTACTTACGATATACTTAGCCATCAAAATTAATTTCATTTAGGAGAATCTAACAAAATAAAGAGGAAGTTTGAAGTTTTGAAATTTAAAATGCAAAGTTAATATTTTATTTGCAATTTGTGAAATGTTCCTTCTTTTTGCTAGCTAGGGTGCAATATTACACATTTATGGAAGATTTTATTAAATAAAACATAGTATTTATTGATTCTAGTGTCAATTGATAAGATCAATAGTTTGATGCCATTATATTAAATGTTTATGATGTTGCAATGCCACCACATATGAAATTAGGCCTCTTGAAATTTAGTTGTGAGTGATGTTTCTTTAATTTCTTAATTACAATGAAGCTTAATTGAAATACTACAAATGTAAATCTTTTTTATGTATACATTTAAAAATAATTTAGATCTAATTAAATTTTTATATAAGTTTTTAATTTTTAATTTTTTTTTAATTTTTAAAAATCTTAAATAGTTCCATTAACTCATATAAATAAAAATTAGAAAAATAAAGTTTTATAATAATTTATATCACACTGATTCTAGTATTAAATTTAAATTATTAAAATGGTTTTTTTCCTCCTACTCCTTATTCTTTGCTCTTTGTTCCCATTTCTTTATTTTTTGTTTTCTAGGTTATTCGTCTTTTTGTTATGGTCGGAGTACGTGATCCTGAAGATGCCTTTGATTGCAAGTGGGTGAAATTAAAAACGTACATAAACAAAAGGTACTAAAAAATGGTCGGGCTAAAACCATATGGTAGCTTTATGCATTATATTCGAAACCTCCTTAGGAATTGTCTCCTTAAAATATTTAGTTATAAATTTTTAATAAAAAGTAAATTTTTTATATTAAAAAATGTTAATTCTTTTTTAGTGTGTCACACACCATTTTACACTTTTCAATTATTCTGTTATATCACCATCTCATTAGACTACTATAAATATATAGTTTTTTAAAATAATTTAACAATATATAATAAATAAACTATACAATTATTATATTTATTTTTTACTTAAAGGTAAAGATCTTTTATGGTCATCCCATAAGATTTTGCATAATTGTTTTATGTACTTAGAGTTTATTTTCTCTCAAAGGCTTTATATCTAATGCTTTCACCACCTTTACAGCATATTTTTTCTTATCAAAGTGTGTTTATAAGTTTGCCTAACTCAGTATATGTTACAACAGTGACAGATTTTTTAACTCATAAATACGCATACCAAAGCCTCGAAAAGCTTCGTACTTAATTTGAAATAAATATAAACTTAGAAAGCCCTAAAAGGATATACGGCTGTAAATCTCACAAGAGCCCTAAAAACCGAGGCATGGATGTGGCTGAGGAGGCGCGGGCCGAGCTTCGCCCATTTCTCCAGCCGCGTGCGTCGTCGCGTGGATCACATCCTCCGCCAGTCGCGGGAGAATCGCAAGCGAGGCATTCGCAGGGCGCGGGATCCGGGCAAGCAAAATCCGCCATGGTACGCGCGCGATCCAGCGCAGCTCCGCAGGGAACGGCAAGCGCGCGTCACACGCAACCAGGTGGAGCTGATCTCGCGATCCAGGCGCGCGAGCGATGTTGCACGGGCGCTGGATTCCGCCAAGAGGGCTGGCGTGATCAACGACAGAAATCTGCGGGATTTGGTGGTGGAGAAGTGCAGCAAGCTCGGATGCATCGAGGAATCGCGACCAATGCTGGAATCGTGGCTGAGGAAGAACACGTTCTCGTGGAGCGTGGTGATCGCAGCATTTTCCCAGAGCGGGGATTTTGCTAAGGCATTGCAAGCGTTTCGAGAGATGGCGGTGGAAGGGATCAAGCCCAGCAGCTTCACGCTCTGCGCAGTCGTGGAGGCTTGCGGCGAGATCGGCGCCACTGCGATCGTCCGAGTGATCCACGAATCCGTGGAGCTGGGGGAGTTTTCAGTGAAGGAACGCTTCTGGGATGGATTGATTGCGGCGTATGGAAAGATCGGCAGTGTGGAAGACGCGAGGAGAACTTTCGAGGGAATCGAAGAGAAGAGCTTGGAGTCTTGGAACGCCGCCATAGCTGCGTGTGCTCAAGGTGGCGACTCCAGCAATCCTTCGCAAGCTCTGGAGTTTCTCACGAGAATGGATTTGGAAGGAGTTCACCCGAACAGGGAAACTTTCTTCCAGATCTTTGGCTCGTTCCAAGGCCGGATAGAGTTCCTGGAACTTGGGAGGAACATTTACAGAGAGTGCTGCGAGCTCGGTCTCAAAGGAGACGTGAGAATCAGCAGCGCATTGATCAAGATGTTCTCCAAGTGTGGAAGCCTCCGCGACGCAAGGATGGTTTTTGAGGAGATTCCCTGCGTGGATTCGTCGTGCTCCACAGCCATGATCGTCGAGTACGTCGCGCATGGCGTCAACGAGGCCGCGTTGAGCCTTTTCAAGCGATTGGTGGGCGAGAATCGGTGTGAAGAAGGAGACTGTCCGCCAGTTTTTGCTGCTGCGATCAATGCTTGCACAGCCATGGGCGATTTCTCGCAGGGAAGTAAACTCCACGAGCAGTTTCTGGAGAAAGATCTGGGGCTGGACGCGGTGATCAAGACGGCGCTGGTGGCCATGTATGGGAAGCGTGGAGATCTGGCCAAAGCAGCGGAGGTTTTCCTAGCTCACGCTCTCTCGATCCAAGACGAGGGCTCCTGGAACTCGCTCATGGAAGCGTACGCAAGAGCCGGGCATCTCAGGCAAGTCCTGGAGCTTCTCCGGAGGATGGATTGGAACGGGATGATCCCGGACGGAGGAACGATGCTCAACGTTTTGGTCGCGATCAGGCACAACTCCACCGGATCATCGCTCGTCAAGCGATGCCGCGAGTACTTCCGATCCATCGCTGCGGACAGATGGATAGAACACACCCCGGAGCACTACGAGTGCGTGATCGACATCCTTGCGCGGAAAGGCTTCGCGAAACAGGCCAAGGAGCTGATCGAAAACATGCCGTATGAGCCGAGGCCCGTGATGTGGAAACTGTTTAGCGAGTGATGACCGAAGGGTCAAAAGGGTCAAAAGGGTCAAAAGGTCAACTTCCAATGGTGGTCAATGGTCAATATTTAGGGCTTTGGGTTTATATGTAGAAGTTCATAATTGGTCAACGGTCATAGTTATTTCCAGAAAGAAGCAATGAAAAAATAAAATGGGAAAATGCACCCTCGTGATCTCCTGGACGACCTTGCTCGCCACTTGCAAGCTCGGATCGAGCGGCTGCCATAGCTCGAGCTATCGGCTCTTCCCATCGTTTCTACTTGATCTATACTCTACTCTCGAAGTTCTCGATCGATCAAGAAGTTCTCTAGCAGGAAACTTAGTTGTGATGTTATAAGAGAGAGAGAGGAGGAGTGTTCTTTACGCTACTCTTTCCTCGATGGATTGCATCGCCATGGCTGGATGGCTCACTGTTCTTCCTTGGGCCAGAAAGTGGTCGCTTTGCCCGTCTTGGACACCGTCTGGAGCACGTCTTCCGCCTTGACATTGCCCTTGACGGTTACCTTTTGCTCCTTGAGATCCACATCGAAAGACTCCACTCCTACCAAGAAATCCACCGCCAAGAACACCAGGGACTCGCTATAAGTCGCTAAGCAAAAATGGAGCCCAAAATCTACCTTGCATTTTGCCCAGAACCCTCTTGACGGCACCCACGCATCCCTCGCAAGTCATGGCGACCTTGAGCTCCACGATCTGCCAAGAACAATCGCAAAAAATTCACGCGCGCCACTCGCAAGAACGCGCTTGCTTACCTCCGCCATAGACACAATACCTAGATCGAATAGAAATCAAAGACTCTTTTATAAAGTTACACCGACGGTGTAGATCGGCTCCTACAAACTGGGGCGCAATCGTGGACGTCCACCCTTCCTTCTTCCTTGTTCTTCGTCCTCTCCCCTGGAAGAATCGCTATACTTCCTTCTCTTCCTCGCTTGCTCTTCCTCCTCCTGCGGTAGATCATCGAGCTCCACCACCCTGTAGATGTGAACCCGAATCACTGGATTACACTGGGTGCGATCCACGCGCTCGAAGATCACCACGTCGCCCTCCTCGAGCCTGTGATCCAGCGCGAACTTCTTCCAGCCGCCACTGATCCCCGGCCTGGGCAGATACCTCGCCGGCCACTCCGCCCCGCTCGAATCCACGAGCACAATGCTACAGATCTGCGATGGCAAGTGCTGCCGCGCGAACTGGTGGTTCATTCCCTGTGGAACTTAGAAACTTAGCGCGCGAGAAAAGCTTTCGATCGAGCGAGCACGAGCTTACCATCCAGAAGCCGCGGTAGACGTGCGATTTGTTCATCTTGTTCATGGTGAATGGATTCGTGGACGTGAACTGCCGAGCTCGCTCCATGGCTCTCTCCCGCTCGGCATCAGTCACGGCTCGCCGCCGTGACAAAGGCTTCTCCTCCGACTGTTCTTCGCTGTTCTTCTTCCTCTTCCTGGTGCTAGCAACCACCACTGCTTTGCTCGTGGATGCTTTCGCTGGTGGTGGTGGCGGCGATGGTTGCCTTGGTGGTGGTGTCTGGCTTGCAATCCGGGAAGAACTTCTCCGCCTAGTTCTTCCATCTTCTTCACGGGATGGTGGCGCCTGGCTTGGAATCCGGGAAGAACTTCTCCGCCTAGTTGTTCCATCTCCTTCATGGGATGGTTGCCTTGGCGGTGGTGTCTGGCTTGCAATCCGGGAAGAACTTCTCCGCCTAGTTCTTCCATCTTCTTCATGCGATGCTTGCCTTGGTGGTGTCTGGCTTGCAGCAACCCGGGAAGAACTTGTCCGCCTAGTTCTTCCATCTTCTTCTTGAGATGGTTGCCTTCGTGGTGGTGTTTGGCTTGCAATCTGGGAAGAACTTCTCGGCCTAGTTCTTCCATCTTCTCCACTGCCAGTTCCATCTTTCTCCACTGCTGTAGCTTCCAGACACTGCCCATCTCTTTCTTGCGCTTCCCTGGATCCCGCATTGAAGAAGCTCGCCATGAATCTCCCTGGAAGCTTGTTCACCCGGCTCTTGCAACCAAAGATCTCCACCTGGAACACCGATTCTTGGACGAGCCTCACCACAAGAAGATCCCCAGCCTTCAATCCATAGGCCAGCGCGAAGGTCTCCCACCCTCCCCTCATCCCAATGCGGCTCAAGCTCGGCCCGCCCAGCGTCACGCCCCAGGCGGCGCCATCCGGCCCGCGAATCCGGCACTCCTTGGCGAATCCATCCGCGTAGAGCTGGACGAAGCGCTGGGGTATCGGCTGCAAGGCATCCCTGTGAGACCCTAGCTCGCAGGATAGAAAGATTTCTGGCAAGGCTCGCGAGCTTACCAGCCACGGATCGCGCTCGCCGATGGAATCCTCGCCAAGAACACTCGCAAACGCTGGTCGATCGGACAAGCGCTCCATCTCTTCCGCGCCGCCGCCGCCCTTCTCTCTCTTGCTCGTCTAGTTGTCTTTGTTCCTTCCCGCTTAATTCCAACGGGCACGATTCCCATGTCATAAGAAAACGACAGAATTCCCCCCCATAGTCCATGTCATATACCTGCCGTTCCCATGTCATAAAAATGATAGAATTTCGGACCGTTTGCCGCTCCCATGTTCCCGCCGCCATGTCATATCATTCGTCCGGGAAAAAGTGCCAGCTCATGTCATTGAAGGCGTACATAAAGTCCACGTCATCCACCCGAAGCTCGACTGCCCGGGGCTGGATAGCCAGGAGATGATCTGGGCGCGAGCCTTTCTGGTTCGGATAGATCGTCCATCTCTCCATGTAGCTCGCGAAGCTATTGCCCAGGATCGCGATCTTGCCCAGCGATCCCCAATTCGCCTTGACGACGTTGTCGTAGAGGTGTGATTCGCAGTGGGGCATGAAGAACAGCGTCGGCTCCTCCACCTTCCGGAGCCCCAGCTCGTTGGAATCGATCGCGCGGCAGTTGAGTTGCCGCAGGATCCTCCACTCGCACGCCGTGAGCACCGGATCAAACACCCAGATCAAGCAATCCTCGGGCAGGACGCGATCCTGCCTGAGTAGCAGCACCAGCGCGAGCTGGAGCCGCGAGCTCTCCGACCTGGAGATCCTGCCCAGCCCATACACCACCAGATTCTCCACGCCCATCGCTGCCAGGGACTCCCCAACGCTGCCCCCGACCTGCGCTAGAAATCTCTTGTAGAAATCGGAGCTCCTGATCCTATCCATCCTCACCAGAATCGCGTGGATGGCCTTGCGAAACTCCTCCACCGTCAGCTCCCGGTCGTCATCGTCCATCAGCCTGGGCTTCTTGCTGGAACCCCGCCGCGACGACGAGCGCTCCACCACAATCCACCCCTCGCCCATCAAGAACCCTAAAAAATGGGACACTCACATTCTTCCTTTATAGCTCAAGAGCCCTAAAGAACGACCTTTTGGCAACTGGGTTTAAGGTTTAGTTAGGGAGGGCGAGGAAGGTTGGGAGCTTCCTATCGGCAAATGGATCGCGCACCTTCCATCGCAATTCTACTCGAATCAATGCAAGCGCAAGCTGGAAGAGATGCTGGCGGAAGAATCGTATTTCACGGTGGGAGATGTGAAGGGCCCGGAAAAGAATGCGGCTCCGGATGGACATGACGGCGGTGGGTTTCTTCCTCGACTCACTCCCGCAGCCTCTCTTTGCCAAGGCACTAGAGCTCCGGAGCTCCATCCTCAAGGTTTTCGGCCGTGGCCGAGCTTGGAGCTGATCCCACAGCGCGGAATGGCGGGAAGATCTGGCTGGTATGACGCTCGCTTTCAAGGAGCTGCTAGATCGCTTGGAGGCCAGCTTGCTCGATCCATTTGCCGCCCCGGACGATCGAGCTAGTCGGGAGTCATGGATCTGGGAAGACATACTTGCTGCTCATGATCTCCTGGCACTTCTCGCAGATCTTCTCGCGGAGTGGAGCAAAGAGGACTGGATCTACTGCGCCCAGGATCTGGATGAGATGAAACAGGTGGTGAAGATCCTCAAGAGAGACAACAATTTGTGGACGAGTACGATGTTTTCAGCTTCAGGGAGAAGGACTTGGGGCTGCGCCAGGTGTGGCAGAGCTCGAGCAGGGATCGACGTGCTTGCATGCTGGATTGGTGAAGCGCTTCGAAGGGTACGAGCAGGAGCTCTATGCGACAGGCGCTCTGCTCAAAAGGCCTGCAAGATTTTTAACGATGGTGGACTGAGGATACACCAACCATACACCAACTCTCGTGAGCTACACTGTGCAAGGCACTCACCACATTGGTCTGATGTGAGAGAGAAATCCAGAATTGATGAAGCTGTCGATTGTTTCGAGACGCCAGTTTCTTGGAGCCGAATCGGACTTGAGAAGTCGTCGAAAGTCTGTTCCCCTCAACCTTTTCTTTCTACGTTGTCATGACTTCTCACTTTGCTATCAGAGAAGGTTTTATACAATGTGTTTCTGGAGTGGGTTTCAGGCCTCGTTCAGGTGCCCTTGTCTCAGTGATGCCTAGCGCAGCAAACAAAGGCGTGGGATTTATGATGCCTCCCCGATGGAAGCTTTCGTGTGCTCTGGACGACTGGTTCAGGTTCGCAACTTTGACAGAGTCCACTCTAACGTCTCAAAACTGTTTTCTCTTGGCCGAAAGCGTTTCGTTGTACGATCCTTTGCCTTTTCATCGTGGAGTTCATTTCCTTACAGCGCACAGAGGCTCCGTTAGACTTCTCCAGATAGGGACGGGTTAAGCATGCGTTACCACCACAGCTACAAGCTCATGGAGCTTCCAAATGTCATCCAAGTCCACCATGGTATCGGGCAGGAACGGCACTAGCTTAGTAGAACGTATGGAATTATGTGTAAACACTTTAGTCACAAATAAAACCTTTTTAGTCACGATTTCTTCTCTTACAATAAAATTCAACTAAAAGCTTTATCTATGTTATATTAAAAGAGATAATCACCGAAACAAGCTGCAGAGTTTCGTAGATTCATGGTGTAGTATGCCGAGCATCCACAACATTCCTCGTCGTGTCCGATCCAAAAGAAGCGCCATCTGATCATATCCAGCACATAGCCTCCTGTGTACTTGCCCAGATTCTCTGGCTCAAAGAACTTGCTGGAGCTCTGCCACTTGGGAATGAACCTTAGACTCTTCCGTGGGGATGAACGTTGTAGGCGAATGGGAGATGACTCTGCCTAGATCCTTGTCAGAAAAAGGGAAAAACTTTCAATTTGCTTTCCCTTTAAACTCTCAATGTGACTCCCAGGTATTGCTCAACTGCGAGGATCACAACCCGCTTTGCAAGCTCGGAGACGAGAGAAAACATCCCATTGTTCTCCACAATCCAGCGGGTGCTGAAAAACCCCAAGTCCCCCATCATGCCGTCGGCGGTTGCTGTTCCAGCTATCAACTCGGACAAGCACTCCACACCCCATTTTCTCTTACCGTCAGAAAACTCTGCTGCCTTCATGACCATCTTCTGTAAGTCCCTCTTCTGCTGAGCAACTTCTCTGCTCAACAGGAAGTTCTCCCTGGCTTTCTCTCGGGATTCCGAGTAGACGTCGAGGTAAATCCTCACCAGCAGAGGAAGGTACCCGGTTAACTCTCTCATCTCAGGAGGCTCGGACTGCAGGCCTTGCTTGCCTAGAAAAGCATCTACCTCTTCCTTCGTGAATACCGAGTAGTGGCAGTGAGACTCCCGGTTGAACGTCGACTTGGACAACCTGGCATACGCAGCCGCCCGCTCTGCCGATCCGCCATGCAAGCAGACCGAACATTCCTCAAAATCTGCTAGAGCGAGCCACACATTCCGCAGCTCCTCATTGGTAGCCCAGTCGTCCAGGAGGTTGTACTCGTCGATGATGAAATAGAAGTCGTTGCTCTCCTTCAGGAAAGTCACCACCTGTAGCAACTCGGCCAAATCCTCAGCACAGTAGATCCTGTTCCTCGCCTGCTCATCCTCCACAAATGCCACAATCAATGCATTCTTGAGAGCACGGAGAAGCAATTGGAGGCCCAAGGGAACCGTAAACAGGCAGACCAACCTCTTCTTCCTTCCGCCAGCCTTGAGAAAACTGTGCATGCAATGCAACGAGAGCATGAGCAGCAAGTACGTCTTTCCAGACCCCACATTCCCATCAAGATCGATCTGCTGCGGGTGACAGAAGCGATCCAGCAGCTTCTTGAAAACGGGCCGTCCTACCAGCCAGATCTTACCGTGCTCGTGCCTTACGCGCAATCCTATCGGCTCCAAGCTCGGCCATGGTAACCCCTCGAAAACCTTGGCCTTCTCGAAGCCCACGTCCGGAATCGCCAGGATGGCGTTCCGGAGATCTAACGCCTTGGAGAAACGAGTGTGCGCAGTACCATCGAGGAAGAACCCTGCTGCCGTCATGTCCCTTCGGAGCCGTGAATGAGTAACTTTAGCCCTCGCACCGAAGTCCTTCACATCCCCCACGGTGAAATACCCTTCTTTCGCGAGCATTTCTTCCAGATTGCGCTTAGCTTTCTTCGAGTACGATGGAAGCCGAGCGATCCATTCGCCGATGGGCTCCTCCTCCTCCTCTTCCTCTGCCATCCACTTTATTTGCCCTAAACCCTAAGACTTTGATCGTTAGATAGTAGGTGAATGAATCCAAGCCGTTAAAACCTAGGATAAAATTTAAAATTAAAAAGCAGAATCAGAATTAATAATTTTAAAATTATAATAAATACATAATAGTAATTATTTTAAAATTTGATTTAAAAATAAAAGCATTTAGCTTTAGGAGTTATTTTAAAATATAGTAGTAAATAGATAGCATTTTTCCAAAAGGTTAGCAATGACAAAGATAATTGAAAAACCCTAAAAAATACGGTAAGTTGTTTCTAAAGGCCATAACATCTTTGGATCATTACTAAATCGTGTTTTGTCTTATCCTTTAAACACTAGTTGTAAAACACTAGCTAATTATTTTTTCGAGCAAGAAATCTATTACTAAATCATCCTTGTAACAAATAATAGCCTCGATTACAAGCTTAAGTTTCATGCCAGCATGCTGAAATGATTGTCAGGCAACACTATTGAAACGAACAAGAGAGCGAACCCTAGGCCAACCTCCCAACCCTTAAGGCGTTACGGCCTTAAATCCCACAGGCCATGGAATATTCTTGGAATATTCCCGTGGTTCGTGTCATTCTTCCCTCCCTCATGACCCAGCCACATACGGTAGCCTCGAGAAGCTAAACGAGCCTCAAATGAAGGAAGTCCAAGGCAATACGGCCATGGAGAAAAGATGTGCAAACGGCAACACCAATGTCGCAACAAACGGTCACGAAAGAAAGAAAGCAATACGGCTTTCTCACATGACAATACGGTCATGGAAAACAAGAGAATGAGAATAGAACAAACGGTTCAAATTATATAGCAATACGGCTATAAAACTCAATTCTCCCCTTCCTCAGGAATGTCATCCAAGTCATAACCAAAACTCGGAAACACTCTCTTCACGTCATCCTCAGTTTCCCATGTAGCTTCGTCCATGGAATAACCATTCCACTGAATTAACAACTCCCTAGTTGTTTTCCGGCATGTTTTCACCAATCTTTGAGCAAGAATATTGGCCGGACCAGCCTTCTCTGCATCAATCTCTGGAACCTGGATGATGGACTGATCCATGATATCACCAGAGTGCAAACACACTTTAAGCTTGCTCACATGGAACGTTGGATGAATCTTCGAACTAACTGGCAAATCCAAAGTGTATGCAAGATCCCCCACACGCTGTAAAATTGTCCCAAGGCCCACAATACCGTGGGGACAACTTAGCACTACCACTTCCTTTTAGAGATCGTTGTGCATCCGACAGCTTAAGGAAAACCTTGTCACCAACTTTGTACTCTTGATAACGACGATGCTCATCAGCCAATCTTTTGTCTCGTTCTTGAGCTTGCCTCATGTTCAATTTTGCCAACTCAAGCTTGTCTTGCATATCCTCCAGGAAATCACAAGCATGAGGAACCCGAACCAAAGCCAAATTCAAACTCACAGGAGACCTAGGCTCATAGCCATACATCGCCATAAAAGGAGACATGCCAATAGCCGATTGATGAGCGCTATTGTGAGCAAACTGAAGCAGAGGCAAGTATTTTTCCCATACTCCCTGTCGAGTCAAGTTTCCCACAAAAGACCGTAGCATATCTTCTAATAGCTAATTCATGCGCTCTGTCTGCCCATCAGATTGTGGATGCTCACCACTACTCATGCTTAGTTTAGTCTCTAGTTTTTCAAAGACTGTTTGCCAAAACTTGGACGTGAACTTAGGATCCCGATCACTCACAATGTCACCCGGCAAACCATAGAGACTGAATAACCGGTCTACAAACAACTGAGAAAGTTCAGAAGCTTTTATCGTTGTCTTCACAGGGAAGAAGTGAGCCATCTTCGTCAAACGATCCACAACAACCCAAATAGCATCATTTCCTCGAAAGGTTTTGGGCAAACCAGTGATAAAGTCCATCGAGATGCTATCCCACTTATTCTCAGGTATACGTAAAGGATGATAGAGGCCAGCGAGCTTCTAATGATCAACTTTGACCGCTTGGCAGGTCAAGTAACCACGTACGTACTTCTCAACATCTGACTTCATCCCAGGCCAAAAGAAATGCCTCTTCACCAACATATACGTTCTCAATACCCCCGGATGCCCAGCACTTGGCACATCATGACACTCAACCAAAATCCGTTTGATGAGTTTGTCAACACGAGGAACCACTACACGTCCCTTCTTCACCAGGATTCCATCTTGTATTTCGAATGACGCAAACTTGTCACCCTTTAAATCTGTAGAGGCGTCCCTCAACAAAACCTTTGCGCGAATATCAGTGATAAAGGAGTTGAAGTCAGCAAACTCCTTAAGCTCATCCAAGAGATCGCTGGATAGCTTCATGAACGAGATAGAATTTACCATCCTGGATAACGCATCAGCCACCTTATTGTCACCTCCATGTTTGTACCGGATCTTAACAGACATTTCCTGCAAGAACTCTTGCCAACGAGCAAGGCAGCCTCAAAGATCCACATCTGGAGAGACTGATGATTTGAAACTACATGGAAGTCCGATCCATATAGATAATGTCGCCATTCTTGAGTAGGCCAATTCTGCTGTGTGACATCAAACTTGTGGCTCATGAAGGCGAGAGAATGCCTAACTTGAAGCAATACGGCCTCAAAAACACTATCACTCACATCATTGCCTATAATTTCCACCACAGTCACCTTATCATTCATTGACCCCTTCAGAACAATCCTTGCTCTGATGTCCAGCTTTATGGCAACGAAAACAATTGCCCTCCGCCTTGTCTTTCTCTCGCTGGTCCAAACGAAGTTTCTTAGCTTCACTGCCATCTTCATGCTTCGAGCCACAACGGAATAACGACCGTTTCTTCCCCAAATATGAAGAATTAGCAAGCTGGTCATCACGTTGACTACTCCGTGGACTATCTCGTTGACCAGAGTTGACTGAGTTGACTGACGGTTCGGGCGAAAAGATCTGAGCCTTAGTGATAGCATCAGTCAATGTTGCTGGAAAATCCTTCTTGACCTTCTGCTGCACATCCACCGAGCTCAATCCTTTGATAAAACATTGCACCTTTAGCAGCTCATTATAAGTGCCCGTGAGACTAAGGCAAAGATCATGGAACTTGCGGACATACGCATCCAAAGACAAAGTCCCCTGCCGAATCTCTACCAACTGATTCACAAGATCAACTTCTTCAAACTTCTTGACAAACGAAGCGCGGAAAACCTTTGTCAAATCAGTCCAAGAAGTCGGCTTCGGATTAGCTTTGATGTAGTTCTTCCACCACGAAGAAGCATGGCCCGTAAGCTTCGTCACAAAGAAATCTATCTTCACCTTATCCTCACAAGGATTGTGAGACTAACAACTTTCCCACAATTCCAACCAAGAATCAACCTCTTGACTATCACAAACATCCGGTGATGATTTCCATTCCACGATACCATAATCCTTGGCATGCTTGACGTACCAATGGTAACCACGGACATGAGATTGATTCAACCCTTGAGGGTTCATGCAAAGCAAGAAATCTTTGATGAGATTGACGGAATCCTTAACCTCCTTTATGTCGCTCTGAACTGCAGAAATCTAGCGTCCTTGCCGCAGAACGATATCATCAAGAGTCTCTTCCGCATCATCATGGCTATCCTCACTAACGCCATACTCCTCATCAGGATCAATATCTTGCTCACCCGCCATCCCCAAAAGAATGTGCTGCTCTGATACCAATGAAACGAACAAGAGAGCGAACCCTAGGCCAACCTCCCAACCCTTAAGGCGTTACGGCCTTAAATCCCACAGGCCATGGAATATTCTCGGAATATTCCCGTGGTTATACTATGGAGAGAGTGCTCTTAATAAAATTTGCATGCTAACTAGCAGCACCACTTTGTAAGAAACATTTGATAATGATGGATGCTATATTCATTCTAGTCATTGAAAGCAATGGATTAAACTAAATCAACTTGCTGTAATTTCTGGAGGAAACAAAATATTGCATGGAAAAATTTTCTTGATCCAAGTCCATTTAATAAAATCGAATTTCTAATCGAGTATTATAGTGCTATTTACTTATTTGCAAATGAAACTTTCCACAATACAAATCAAATGTTTCTCTAGCTAGAAGTCAAGAGAATCAAGTGATTCGATTCTTACAGCATATTCCCGGTGATAAAAGCGAAGCTAATCTTTGATTCGATGACATTTTTTCCTGGAATTTAACGAGGCCTTTTCGAACGAATTCCCGAGCACGCCTCGTGACTTGGAATTGGCTATCTTTTAAATGCCAAAGCCGAGAGAGTTGTTTCCTCCATCGTTAGAGCATATGCCCGGAGCACGACCAGAGCCAAGCGGATGTTCGCTGCCTTCTCGGGAAGAAAGATCTCATCGCCTTGAACACGCTGATCACGGCCTTGTCGCATTGCCAGGATCACGGCAGAGACACCATCAACGTGGCGTTTGAAATGATCACCGCCATGTGGATCTCTGCACTGGATCTGATCAACTAGCTGCCGAGGATCTCATATCCAGCACGTCCGGGATGGAGCCTGGCAGGAGTCAAGAGGATCCACAATGAGCAGAACTGGCTGCTCACAGTGCGCCACTCCTTGACACCATCATCTCGTCATCGTATGCTCTCCTTTCCCATATCTAAGTCGCTCGTAGCTCGTCACATGGTCCTCTGTGTGTGTCATTGTTTTGTGATTCCAATGCGTGATAGGAGATAGTCAAAGTGGGATCCAACGTATACATCTCTCTCCAAAAGTAGAAGTAGTGTTTTATAATTTTACAAAAATTTATGAGCGATTGATTCTTTCCTGGAGTTAGAGATCATCCTCAATGCTGATGCTTCTTGGAAAAATTAAGATATAAATATCTTTGAAATGTCCAAGGCATCTGTTCTTCACTCTTATTATCATCACGAAGGATTTTGCAGCAGTCGCACTTTGAAAGAGAAATTTGCCGCAGGAGTGATTGTTTCCAGGATTAATTCAAGCTGGAATGACACCTAAGTTTCTAATAGATCTAAATGTTTGTAATAATGTATGTATGGTATGTCTTTGGTGATCTAATTCAGCGGTGGTCCAAGGTGTTGCTATCACCACCACATGAAAAGTTGTTGTGACTGACGGGTATTCCCATCATTGAGGTTTGTTACGTACAACACTTTGATCAGCGGGCATTGCAAAGTTCGAAGAGCCGATGACGCTTTGCAGCTCATACGAGAGACGGAGCCAGCTCCAAACACGATCACGTACAACACCATCATCAATGGACTCCGGAGGTCCAGGAAGGATACAGAAGCTCAGACGTTGCTGGACGAGATGATCAACTTGGCGTTTCCATTCAGCGTCTCAACTGCGTTATCGCGAATCTCTGGCGGTCTCGCGAAGGCAATGGACGTCTTTCTCTACACGAGGAAGAAGAAATGCGAAGCGGACGAGGTAACTTTCGCAACGCTTTCACCCAGTCCGGCGATCTGGAGCTCCCGCTGGACCACCTCCATCGAATGCCGTTTGGTCGTGATCTAGAATCCCGGACTTTTCTACCGCAAACGTTTCCCAGGAACGAGGAGGGCGATGCCTTGAGCGTCAAGGATGCGTTTTGGAAGAAGCCACGACAGTGTCTTGGACTGTGATGCTCGAGGCCTACGCGCAGAACGGTGACGCGAATATGGTCTCCCATCGAATGCCATCGACTGCTCGAGCCGACTTGGCGAGAGCGGTGTTGGAGAGGATGCCCGGCAGTGACGCTCTCTCCTGGGCGGCTCAAGCTTACGGCTTTGCTCAATAGGGACTGGTCCCGGACGTCTTCCCGGAGCTCGACTTGGAGAGGCGAGATCGAGCAGACCAAGCATATGTTTGAACAGCGATGGATTGATCGAGCTAGTCGGGTTCTCGCGTGATAGCAGCACTAGCGCTAAGAAGAGGCTCGGCAACTCAGAAGCCTCGTAGCACCTGTCAGAGAGGCACTGCTCGTGGCATTTGCGGAGGACGAGCAGGACAGGAACTGGATCTACTGCGCCGAGGATCTCGACGAGATGAAACAGGTGGCGGAAGAGAGACAACGATTTGCTCTTCGCGGTGGACGAGTACGATTTTTACGACGTGAGGTACGGCGTTGCGAGAGCTCGAGCAGGCGGAGAAGCGCTTCCATCGCGTTTTCGAGAGTGCTCGCGAAGAACGAAGTTGGAGCTTTCCTGCGATGGAAGGGTCTCGACGCGGAGCCAGCGGAGATGCGCGAGCTAACCGGCTATCTTGTGAGGATCTACCTCGACGCGTACGTACCCATGTTTTTTCATAAAGAAATCGATATCAAAAGCAGAGCCAGATCTTTTGTTGACGGAAGAAATCGTTTGCTGACATATCCAGGAACCTCAGCTTGGACCGAAGCAAGCTACGAGCAGTCATGGTTGAAGAATTCAGTGGATCGCCGGAGATCAAAATGCGCGCTCTTAAACTCACTAAACATTTGAGATAGCTTAACCAGAAGAACTCATGGAAAAAGTCGCAACAACGGATTCATCAGCTTCGTCTGCTAGGTACCTCTTCATTGTCCAAACCATTGGGGCATGGACTTAAGCTGTGATATCTCTACCGGACAAAGATTTCTGTGAAGATCAAAGATGGGCGATAGATTTTGTTTGGCATTTCAATGATCTTAGAGTGTATTTCGGTATTAAGAACCCAGAAGCATAGCATTTAATTCCACCACATAATATTTGAAAGGAACACCAGTGTGACCACTGGCAATGGAGCTTGCTACGCTTCACTTTTGGAGGCTTAAACTAGTGCCACCACTTTGAGTACAAGGTCTCCCAACGCACCGGAAGTAGAAAAGGACGGAAGCTGCACAACACAATTCTTGCACTCATCGCTGACAGACAGCTTATTACTGCCAGTGTATGGACAATCAAAGTGTATAGTGGCAACTTTGAAGCCCTTCGTATAGATGTCAAATCCACCTGTAGTCCCAGATGGAGAACCTTGCCTTCCACATGCAGCAAATGGCGGGTTGGGAGAGGTTGCTCCTGCAGCAATGGTTATCCCACCTGGTGCGCTGCCATCATTGTTCTTATTTGGGTACTTATACCACTTTCCATATGATAAGAAGGAGTTTTTCACTTCTAAGGTGTCTCGTCCCAGGTTTGTGATCTTGAAGGATACCCACTGAGGATATCCTCCCAACTTGCCATCTGCATTACACATGTATTTGTAAGCCCAGCAATTAAACTTAAGTTACGTACCGGTGACTTGAAAGATAGAAACCGAGTCCTTTTCTCCAGCCGAAGCAGCAGAAGCTAAGCTCCCAATGGATACGCAAAGCAATGCTACAAGGAAAGAAGAACTCGACATGATTTCTTGCAAGTTTGGGCTTTGGGCTTGGAAATCTATACTACCCAAGTATCACTTTTTAAACGTTATGGCTATGGCGTGTGTCTCGTGGGATCTAAAATTGAAGCACAAAATTTTATAAAACTGTTTAAGAAATGGTTCAAGTAATGCCTCCTCGTGGTCCTGCTACTCAAAAGGAGACCAGGACATGGTTTTTTGCCTTATTTTTCTGGTATAATCTTGTCAATACAATAGTAAAAAATATTTTATGTTTATGTATTTTAATATATATTATATGGTAAAAATTCATGTTTAGGGTTTTATCTCAGGTGGGATTCACTCTATAAAGGATGTGAAATTGCTAATGACAACTTTAATTTACAATATAAATTATAGTCAGTTTTGTTTTCGGTCAGACTAAAAGTGCAACTGTGGCATAGCTGTCAGTCCCATGTGAACGATTGCGACGTAGAGCCACGTTTAGCTTTCCAAGACTAGAGTGTAATCATCAACCTACAAAACCACCATTTCAGCTGAATTGTTCCGTGAAATGGTCGTTGTTTAAGAAGTGCAGTACCAACGGGAGCAAGAGTTCGCGGTGAGATCCTTAGGGATCTGTCCGGTGGAAAAGTGATTTATGAATTTGGCTGACGATTTGCAGCAACCAGCTATCCGGTCAAAAGGAGAACGAATTTGATGCGATACCGGATAAGTTTAGTGGACTGCGATTCTTACAGCAAATGCCCGGTGTGGGTGTTTGATAAAAGCGAAGCTAATCTTTGATTCGATGACATTTTTTCCCGGAATTCAATCGAGCACGTGGAATTGGCCATCTTCTAAATGCCAAAGGAGTTGTTTCCTCCATCGTCGGAGCATATGCCCGGAGCAGGCATACGACTGGAGCCAAGCGGGGGTTTGCTGCCATCCCGGAAGAAAGATCTCATCGCCTGGAACACGCGGATCACGGCCTGCCATGATGACGGCATCAACGTGGTGTTTGATCCTGAGCATTCAGCGTTTGTGAGCGTTCTTGGTGCTTGCGGCCAGCTTGGGGTGTTCTAGCGGGGATGGAGCTACTTTCAAAACATGGCCGATGATCCTGCCTTGTGGATCTCTGCGCTCGAACTGGTCAGCTAGCCACCGCCTGGAGTCACTTGGATGGCCGGTGCTTGTTGGCAAAAGAGGATCCACAACACGTCCACTCCTCGACACCACCATCTCGTCACTGCATGCTCTCCTTTCCCATATCTAAGTCGCTCGTAGCTCGTCATGTGGTCCTGTGTGTGTGACATTGTTTTGTGACTCCAATACGTGATAGTGAATAAGGATGATAGTCAACATGGGATCCAATGACAACAACGTATAGATCTCTCTCCAAAATAATTTTACAAAAACTTACGAGCGATTGATTCTTTCCAGAGGTTTAGTCAGATCTCTCTTCCCGATCTAGATCCCATCCTGAATGCTGATGCTTTTTGGAAAAGTTAAGATATAAATTCTTTGAAATGTCTAAGGCATCTGTTCTTCGCTCTTGTTATCATCATGAAGGATTTTGCGGCACCTGGCACCAGTCGTGCTTTGAAAGAAAAATCTGCCACAGGAGTGATTGGTTTCTTCAAGCTGGAATGAAGCCTGTGTAAGAGATGTTTGTCAATGTATGTATGGTATGTCTTTGTAGGGATATAGTTCAGCGGTGGCCCAAAATGATCACCACCACATGAAAAGTTGTTGTGGCTGATGGGCATTATCATTGAGGTATTTCTTATATATATATATAGATAAACAAAGAATTTACAAAGATGCCTTTATGAAGTTTTGTTATTTTAAAAGACCACATTAAATCAAATTAGAAAGTCACATTAAAAATATCCAAAATCTTGAACTGTTTCTCATATTGCTTTCAAGGATGCTATGTGGATGAAGTTGAGGGGTTGGTTTTCTGAGCGTAGTTGTGTGAAGGCATGATGTTAAGGATATAGAAGTTATGAAGTATGTAATCATGGTTATTTCCACTGTATCTAGCTAGCCAGTTTGGAGGTGTTCAAACTACATGCCTACAAGCATGTTTATGTTGTGATCCTCATGGACAGAACTTGCTCTTGTTTTGGTTTGGAGCAAATTAGCGATCTATGTGCTTATCAACTTCATGTTGACCTAAGCGTGTGCAATGTTATACTCATACTCAAGGCATATTATGATTCAGATGCTGGTATTATATATCCAATCAATTTAAGGGTTTAGCAATACATGGAAGATTTGACTAGATTGATTACATGGTGACAACTTATTTGAATTAGTTTTGAGTTGATTTTAACAATTGTTTTAAGTGAATTTTAGTGATGTTTATTGTTTTAATGTGATTTTCTAAGTCTGGAAAGGCTTTTTTATTTGAATAAGAATTAGAAAATGATTTATAATAATTTTTTAGACTTGTAAAAAAGTATGGAAAGTTAAAATTTAATATAATTTTTGAAAGATCATCACTTTTATTTTTTTTTAAAAAAAATTAGTTTTTTATAATTCTTTTCCAAAGAAGTTAAATTATTCCAACTGAAATTCCTCCAGAATTTGCACTTATATTTTGTACTGTTAAAAGATACATTCTAAAAGAACAAAAGATAAGTTTTAAATTTAAAGGTGCCTTTCTTTAGGTTCTAGCCAAAAAATGAGAGAGGTAAAGTAAAAATCTTTTAAATTTTTGGAGTCTAAGTTGGTGGTACCAAAAGAGAAAAGCCTCTGTAGAATCTAGGCAACGGACATCTTTCTTCTCTGTGTCAATGTAAGTTTTATAGCGTTCGATCTTTGATCAATAATCTCTTTGGTCTAGAGTCCTGTTCTAACTTTCTGAACTTCTTCCAGACTCAACTCGACAGCAATATGCTCATCCTCCAGAAGATGTAATTTATGCTCCAATGGACATCCTAGCCATGAACTTGGTAATGCATGACCTGGCCTACATTGCTTGGCTCCTTTGCAATCCTCCATGACGGACAGGTCCACTATGGAAAGCACAATAGTCTAGAGGTGGACAAGCTAGGGCTCCACAATTTGGCATTCCAGATTCTCAATAGCAACATCTTACATGTAGATGTGTGTTTTTGTGTGTAGAATGCTCTGTCGACTTCATTGCTTTGGTATGGTTATGTACATGATGGTATGGGTGTGATGCTTGGCGGTTGGTGTCTTGGATGAATGACTTGTCTCATAACACATGAATCTTTCGGCCAGTAGATGTCTCTGCCCAGTTCTTAAAAAGCTTAAAGTGGTTGAACACTTCACTCTTAGCGTGGAGAAGGCTCACCACAGCATATCTGGAATGGTCATCGACAAAAGACACAAAGTACCTATTGCGGGTGAGTGTTTCCATAGGCAAGTAGCACATGTCACTGTGAACCAGATCCAGTAAGCTTGTAACTTGGTCCTCCATGGTTCTTGATGGAAAAGGAAGGTGAACTTGCTTCCCAAGATGGCAAGTTTCACACAAGCCCAAATGGCCAGCTGGGAGTGTGATGCCTTTAGTATGCTGGTTATGAGCCAAGGCATGCAAATCTCGTTCATTGACATGCCCTAGACAAGCATGCCAAAGCTCAATGGTGTCTTGTGCTTGAAAAGCAAGCACTTGAGCTAAAAAAACCAATTCTACATTTAAACGGTAGAGTGTTTCATACCTCACGCCATTGGTTACAGGAGTACCATCATGACCATAGATGGTGCACCCTTTTGGGAAGAAGGTGGTAGTAAAGCCTTGATTTGAGGTTGCACCTATAGAAAGAACTGTTTGCCCTGCTTCAGATACAAAGTGCATGTGATGAACCTCCTTAAGAGGTCTATTGGGTAGCCTAATCACCATCATGCCACGACCTTCCACCTGGAGTGGTTGCTTGTCGCTGACATAAACCTGTTGTGGAGCTTGAAGAGCCTTGTAAGTGTGAAAGGCAGACCTTAAGGGAGTCATGTGAAAGGAGGCACCACTATCTAGCCATAGAACCTCAAGAGTAGACACCGGTGACGGGTAAAGAGCCATTATCAACAACGAGTTGCTATGGGTAAGCATGCGCTAGGTGGCAGCCTTCTTTGCACGAGACTCATGCTCGACATGCCCCATCTTTCCACAATAGTTGCAAGGACCCTTTTTCTTCTTGGAGAAGTTAGATCTAGAGCTAGGAGTTGTAGTAGAAGAGATATGAGGCCCACGGCTAGTGCCTCCTTTCCTCTACTCCCCATTTGAATGTTTCTTACCAAGAAACAAGGCCTACTCATGAGCAGCTTGAGAGGATCCTTGATGGCCAGTTTGACGCTTAGCAATCTTGCACTCTTCCTCGAGCAGATCAAAGTAAAGCTCCTCCATGATTTTGCCTGGGACAAAAGAGAGCATGGAGGACAATTGTTGCAACTCTAGGGATACAAAGTAGAGCAAGAAGGCTTTTGCATAGTCATCAGAAACTACAACACCTACTTCCTTTAGCTGTTGCATTAAGCCTTTGAGCTTCCTGATGTATGTTGCCATTGTCTCACCAGGCTGCATGCGTAGGGAGAAAATTTTTTGGGTCAGAACCAATTTAGCATTAGTGGATTTGGCTGCAAAGACTTGGGAAAGGGAGTCCTAATTGGCCTTGGCAGATTTTTCTAGATCAAGGAGATGAATAAATTCATCTCCAAGACCCAGTCCAATCACGGAAAGGGCTTTGTGGTTCTTGGAGTCCCAAGTAGCCTACAAGGCTGCTTCTATATCTTGAGGTCTCACTTTGATTCCCTCCACCAAATCCCAACACTTTTGCCATTAAGATTAATTGGACTTTGGTCTTCCAAGTCGTGAAGTTTTTTCCCGTGAACTTCTAGAATAGCTTCTCCCATCCTGCATCCCAGTTGCCAGCCAGGATGGCCATGGTACTCGCTAGGGTGGTTCTAGATGTAGTGCGAGGTGGAGTACTGGTAGCCATTAGTTTCTAGAAGAAAGGACAAAACAGCGGAGTTGAGACAAACCAGGATCAAAGTGCACCATGCTAGCAGACAAAACAGGAAAA